ACATGCTAGGCCTGGCAAGGGCTTGCTCGATACCCTTCTTCAAGAGGACTATTCTAATACATTCCCAGGAAGAGCATATAGGGTGAGAAGAGAAAAGGATCCAGGCCTGAATCCTAGGAGGACCAGTATTTGGGGAGCCAGCAGAGGAGAAAAAGGCTAAGAAGAAAACAGAAGAAACAGTAAGAGAAGAATCAGCAGAGAGTAATGTCATGGAAGAAATCCAAGGGAGGAAAGACTTTCAAGAAGGAAGAAGTGGTCAACAGCATCAAATGCAGCAAAGATTTCCAATAAGTTCAAGGCAAAAAAGTATCCTTTGAATTTGGCAACATTGAAGGCCTGGATCCCCATGATACGATCTGTGTCAGCAGAAAATGAGGGCAGAAGCCACAATGCAGTGAACTGAACAAATGAAAATGAGGAAGTAGAATAAGTGCAGACCTTCCTTTTGAGAAATTTGTAAGGAAGAATAGACTGTCGTGAAGAGTGATCTGAAGTTAAAGATTCTGGTTTTGTCTCTTTTTTTTAAGATGATAGAGACTTAAACATAGATATCAACTACAAAAAGATACCAGTAGAGAAGATGAATTTGAAAATAAAAAAGATGATGAGAGATGGAGGGAGATCCTGGAGGCAACAAGAGGAGGTAGGATCAAGGGCTTATGGAGAAGAATCAGACACCTTAACTTTATAAGCTGACAGGAAAGGGGAGAGGGCAAGGGTATAGGTAGGGTAATTAATAAAGTGGAGCAGGAAAGAGGTTGAGGGGTATCGTGCCCAGTGATACCAACATTTTCAAAGACTTTAGCTGAGGAAGGGAAGAAGTTTGGATGGAGAACAAGAAAAACCATACAAGGTAATTATTATCCTGTAGTGAACATGTCATTTTTGTTGTTAATCTGCACAGCATGCGCACCCCCCCCCTTCTTATTGGTAATAGCACGTAAGTGTTCTTTAAAGATCCATCCCGCCCCACTCTAAGTCTATGTGGTTCAGACAGGAATCACCCCAGTCTCATACACACGTCAGTGGCTAGGTTCCTAACCCATCATCAGGTCAAAGTGATCAGTTCAGAAATGAGCACATGATGAAATCAGATCCAGGAATTTTCCTGCAACCGTTGGGCAAGAGGTGCTCATAGAAGGCAAACCTGGTGGACATCTTGCCACCGGGAAAGAGCCTGCCTGAGAACAAAACCAACTCAAAGAAAGCAGAGCTAAGGGGTGGAGAGAGACAAATGCCTGGTAACATCATTTTAACATATATATTTACCTCTGCCTAAATTCACATAAGTCAGTAAATTTCCTTTGTACTTAACATTAATTTGAGTTGGGTTTTATTACTTGCAGCCAAGAGTTATGCTGAATCTGTGTGGCAGATATTGCCTGCCGGAACTCATCCCCACACCCACTCTTCTCTAACCTCCCCTGGAAAGGGCTGGAAATCTGAAAACCACATTTCTCAGATGCCTTTGTCACTTCGTTCCGGTTAGGTTCCGCCAGTGGGAACCATCACATGAGGAAGGGAGGGGTCCTCCTGCTCTTGGTGGTGCCTCTGGCAACAGCAGCAGCAGTGCTTGCTGCCTAGCAAAAGCGGAAGTGGTTCCAGGAGCGTCAGCATACAAACTGCAGGTGCATTAGCAGCTAGTGCAGATTTGTGGGTTCCGGCTCCTTGATCTTTGGGCTCCCCTCTTCTCCCTTTTGCTCCTCGAAACCAAGATTAGTGGTAGTTTCCTGGTCTCTGGGTAACTCTGCTTTCCTTTTTATGTTTCTCCAGACTTCCCTTACAACTTTGTTGTTGTTGTTGTTGTTGTTGTTTTTAAGTAAGCTCTGCACCCAGCGTGGGGCTTGAACTTACGATCCTGAGATGGCGAGTTGCATGCTCTACGGACTGAGTCAGCCAGGCACCCCCCTCCCTTACGACTTTGTAACAAATTCTTTGCATTAAATCCTTCTCTACTTGGAATATCTGGAGTGATTTCTGTATACTCACTGAACAGGCATTGATACAATACACATTTCTATTTGGCATACACACACATACACCACTCACAAGGCTCAGAGAGGCTGTTTCTCAAATATACAGAATTAGTAATTGGCCTACCTAGCTGGGATTGGAATTCGGACATGTCTGATTCTAAAGTTCTCACTCTTTCTCTACCTAACGTTGGCTTTTGTATTTCTTTTGTTTTCCTTTTTTATGGCTTGATTAAATAGACATTAAAGGGGACAGAAGTAAAAGTATTGTGCGTTTTTTTTAAAGATTTTATTTATTTATTTGGCAGAGAGAGACACAGCAAGAGAGGGAACACAAGCAGGGGGAGTGGGAGAGGGAGAAACAGATTCCCCGCTGAGCAGGGAGCCCGATGCGGGGCTCAATCCCAGGACCTGGGATCATGACCTGAGCCGAAGGCAGATGCTTAACGACTAAGCCACCCAGGCGCCCCGAAATAAAAGTATTATTAAGAAAGTTGTTCAGGTGATTGACCTTGATGTTCAATTTGGGTAGGAAAAGAATGGCTTTGTGACAATGGAGGACTGGGAGATAATAAAGGGCTCAAACATCTCTAAAGGCAAGGAGCTGGAGGAGAATGAAGTTGTGCAGGAGGCAGAAGGATAAAGATAAGAAGTTGTGGTTACAAGTGGGATGGAACTTAAGGAAATTTTTCACAGGTGGAGCAGTTGTGAATAATCACTAGGGTTAGAGTTTGGTCATACTAATTGGATGGCTTCACCAACTGAGAGAACATAGTCAAGAGGTTGGTAGATGATGGCCGTAAGAATTGTATGGCTCATTTGCATGATGCCAAAGAAGGAGAAATTTAACCTGCTTAGAAAGAGGAAGAGAAATGGTACAGATGTGTATGGGAGTCATGCTAAAGCTAATACCGTTGCCCATCTATTGGGACAGCTATAGGGAAAGGAGGAGGGACCCTCGTGCAGAGCTTGATCTCAGTTAAAGCTGGAGATAGATAGAGCGTGTAAAGAATATAGAGAAGCTTATTAACCATGGAGTGAATTACAAGAGGTACCATGGGAAGTTTGGGAAGGAGAGGTGCAATTATGAATGGGGAAAGGAGCCGTGGAGCCATTTGGAGGTGAGGTTTCTCACTTTCCCTCACCCCTCTATCCAGTCTATCAGCAAGTCCTATAGACTGTCTTCTAAATATTTTTTGGTGCAATTTCTTTATTTTTTAATTTAAATTTAGTTAATTAACATATAGTGTATTATTAGTTTCAGAGGTAGAGTTCAGTGATTCATATACATTCATTGTATATAACACCCAGTGCTCATTATATCACGTGCCCTCCTTAATACCCATCACCCAGTTACCCCATCCTCCCACCCCCCACCCTCCACAACCCTCAGTTTGTTTCCTATGGTTAAGAGTCTCTTAAGGTTTGTCTCCCTCTCTGATTACGTCTTCTAAATATTTTTAATCTGCCTTTTTCTCTTCATCTCCATTGCCACCCAGTGCCCAGGCCTATGTGGTTTACCACCTGGGCCACAGTGCCAACCTCCTCAGTGGTCTCCTCACATCCACTGTGGCCTCCTTTCACTCAGTATCCTCTCTGCCACAGTCAGAGTAATCTCTAAAATGCAAACCTCAGCATGCCATGCCCATGTCTAAAATCCCTTAGTAGGTCTTCATTGCCCCAAATACAGACAAAATCCATGCTTCTCAGCCTGACATGAGCTGACAAGCCCCTGCCTCCTTCTCCAACCTCATCTCCCACCAGCCCCTCATTCAGCCCTCCTAAGTAACTGTGGTTCCCAATCCTGGCTATTTCATCTACTCTGGCTTTTTTTTGCTCAGGTCGCTTCCTCTGCCTATAATGTTCCTGGCATGGTAGTGCATAGTAGGTAGTGAATATATATTTGCTAAAGGACTTCCATACATTCTACTCATCTTTTAAAATTCAGATTAAGTGTTATGTGTGAAGCCTTTCCTAACTCCTCCATCCCAGGTATTGCTGATTCAACTTTCCTTTGTATATAGGCTCTTCCACCTTAATATCTATCTCACTTTATTGCATTTATGTAATGCCTTGTCTGGGGTCCCCTCTTGACTCTAATGTAGAGTTGGAGATTCTTGAGGGCAGGGATTGTGTGATTCATTGAATGACCTATTGTTCTGCACCTAGGAGGTGCTGAGTGGATGAAAGAAGCATGAGTGGGACCTTTTCTGGGAGTTCCTTGGAAACAAACTAGAGGCTTCCCTGTAACAGAGCAGGTAGGAGAAGAGAAGAAAGAAGAGACTTAAATTTCCTCTTTCGATAGGAGGAAGTTAATCTTGAGTACCAGAGTTGCTGGATAACTGTTTAGACACCTCCAAGCTCTCTGGCATGATGCAGTGATGGCCCCAGATGTAGCACATTGACTGAATAAGGCCCAGACCTGAGACTCTGGCCTTATCCCCACCTCTCAGACTGAAGGAGGAACACCCAGCCCTATGATAATCATCTAGACTCCATCAGGGATGAAGGGGAAAGCTCAAGATACTTCTTGGGAGTGGACCCCACAACTCTGGCGCTTCACCCCTAACCTCTATCCCCAGCCATAGCCAACCTCAAGCCCTGGGTGCATCCTGATCTAAGAAGCCCAGATTCATCTTCTGTCCTCTCTCCCAGCCACTGAGGCTGGTGAAGGAACCTTAGGCAGTTCTCCTGGTCCAGTGGGACCTGGTGCCTGTCAGAAACCACTCTATGGCCTGGCCTCCCAGTACAAAGCCCTGTGTAGCATTCGGAGCTGGTCAGTCTACTCTTCTACCCACCAAATTCCCACAAAGCAAGGGGCCACCAGGTCAGGAAGGGTTGGCCTTAAACCAGATAAGGCCGTGGTCCAGAGTGTGAGTCTACTTCTGGGAATTTTCCCCTCAGCCCTTCCCTCCCTTGCTTCCCACAGCCTCATTTGAACTTGAGAGCCCCCAAAGAGATATTACTAGCTTCTCAATTCAAAGAAAGAAATGAGATTGTCCCAAAACCAGGGCCCCTTGAGTCCAGCAAAGAAGCACTCTGGCTTTATTGTGAGGAAAACAGGGAGAAGGAGCTGGGCCAGACTCATCTCAAGAGACTTCCTCTCAATGATTGCAACCCAGGATGCTCCCCACTTTCTGGGGCTGGGGAAGGGTCTTGGCTGTGCTCAGTTTCTCTGCATCACTGTAGCAGTACAGATCGGAGCCATGGATGAGGTACAAGCCAGGACCATTGGCAGAACATGAATGGGGGCCGAGGGACTTCTCCACACACAGGGCCCCGTCAACCTTCTCATGGGGCCAAGGAAGCTCTGTCCACGTGGCTTGAGGTCCTAACTTCAGGTCCAGCCACCACAGCTTCCGTCCTGGAAAGAAGGCACCAGACAAAACATAGCTTCCACATCATGGGATCCTCACCTTACCCTTCCCCAAGCCCTGACGGGGATCTATGCCATGGAGAAGTACCAGAACAAGCCACCATGCAGTATCCAGATGCCCCTCACCTGCCATAATGTGGAGCCGAGAAGTCCCAGGACAAGTAAAGGCTGCATCCACAGCCTCAAGGTTGATCCCATGAGGGCTCCCAAATTCCTTCTCCAGCCTCTTTGGATAACCATCTACTAGAGTATAGCCTCCCTTTGTCAGGAAGATATATACCTGAGTGCCCTGGAGGACAAAGGACGTTAATCAGCATAGAGCTGGATACGCTCCCAGTCCCCATTTCAAGCCTCTCTCCCAACACATACCTGGATTAGGTAGACTTTATCGTCCCAGGAAAAGGCAGCATCCACTGTTGAAGGACCCTGGGGCCACTGATGGACAATGGGCCAAATGTGCCACCCATCCCGGCTAGTGTCCAGACGCCAGTAGTGGGACCCTGTGGGGTATCAGAGGTACCTCTAGTGCTGATGGGATAGGCAAGTAACAGGTGCAGGGATAGGTCCTGAGAGGGAGGACAGAATACATCCAGAGGCCAAGAGGGAAGAGGCCAGGTGAGAGGAGATAGAGCAGGACTTGATCAGCAAAGTTGGGCCTGGTGACCTGATTGGAGCTGGAGTCACTAGGGCCTGACAGAAGGGCAAGCATGGAGAACAGTGGCTAAGGTGCCAAGTGAGGCCAATGTCATGGGGTTTGGCAGTGGCTCCCTATGCATCTCAGACATCCATGTACAGAGATACTATAGACAATGAGGGACAGTGACCAAAAATTAAAAGAGAAGCACCACAGCATGCTCCCACCAAGTGTTCTCATTCTGGCTGTGTTCTCTAATCCCTTGAGGTGGCAGGAGAATGAGGGAGTAGCCAGACATGCCCTAATTTTCTTCTCCCCTTCTCATAACAATTTATTAATGGAATTGTCTAAGTTCCCATTTACCTTTCCTTCCTTAACCACTTCACTTATACTTGTTTCCTCCTCCATTGAAACTGTACTTTTCAAGGTCGTCAGTGTCCTCCAACTTGCAAATCTAATCGTCACTTCTCTGTCTCCATCCTGCTCCACCTCTCAGTAGCATTTGACTGCTCACGACTCTCTTCTTGAAATATCTTTTTTTGGATCTTGGCTTCTGTGATACCAGCCTCTTCCAGTGTTCCTCTTATTTTTTTTTTACTATCCTTCTCTTTAGCCTGATATCTTATATTGGAATCCTCTAGTTTGGGCCTCTTCACTACCTACACTCACTTTTTTGGTGATTTCACCTAGTCTAGGGCTTTAAATACCATCTATATGCTGATGACTTTGGATCTGTTCTTTTCAGCTTTCATGGACCTCTCCTTTGGGCATCAGGCTCAAACTTAACTGCCTACCCAATATGTCCATTTGGGGCCATTAGGCACCAAAACCCCACAATGTCCAAGCTGATGTCTGCTCCCTGCCAAACATACATACATACACACACACACACACACACACACACACCTACTCTTTCCCTAATCTTTCCCAATTTTAGAAAAAGGAACTACCAGTCACCCAGTTCCAAAAAGCTAAGTCATTCTTTTTTTTTTTTTAAGATTTTATTTATTCATTTGAGAGAGAATGAGATAGAGCATGAGAGGGGGGAGGGTCAGAGGGAGAAGCAGACTCCCTGCCGAGCAGGGAGCCCGATGCGGGACTCGATGCGGGACTCGATCCTGGGACTCCAGGATCATGACCTGAGCCGAAGGCAGTCGCTTAACCAACTGAGCCACCCAGGCGCCCCAAAGCTAAGTCATTCTTAAGACCTCTCTTTTTCGTTCCCCACTCCAACCAATATTCAATCCATTGGTTAATGCTGTCACCTCGACCTCGATCTCCAAGATGACTCCTCACCACCTCTGTTTGCTTTAATCCCAGTCCAAGCTGTCATTGCCTCTAAGCCAGACAACTGCAAGAACTGCTATACTTACTGGATGCCCCGCTTACACCATTGTATCTCTTATGACTTGTGTGCTCCAGGATGATCTTTAAAAAATAAGTGAGAACATATCACAGCCCTGCTCAAGACCCCCTCCTGGCTTTCTTTCATAGTTGAAAATCCTTACCAGGCATATGTAATCTGGCCCCTGTCTCCCTTTTTCAAGCCACTCGCCTGCTCTTTCATTGTTCTCTAGCCACTCTGGCCTTCTTTCCTGATTCCTCAAAGTATTTGCTATCTATCCTCTCTAAAATGCTTTTCCCCTAGTGCTTTATGTACCTAATGCTTTAAAAAAAAAAGTTTTTATTTAAATTCAATTTAGTTAATGTACATTGTGTTATTAGTTTCAGGGGTAGAATTTAGTGATTCATCAGTTGCATACAACACTCAGTGCTCATTACATCAAGTGCCCTCCTTAATGCCCATCACCCAGTTATTCTATCCCCCTCATCCCCCTCCCCTCCAGCAACCCTCAGTTTGTTTCCTATAGTTAAGAGTCTCTTGGGACACCTGGGTGGCTCAGTCAGTTAAGCATCTGCCTTCAGCTCAAGTCATGATTCCAGAGTCCTGGGATCAAGTCCCTCATCGGGCTCCTTGCTCAGCGGGGAGCCTGCTTCTTGCTCTTGTGCTTCCCCCTGCTTGTGCTCTCTCTCTCTTGCTCTCTCTCTCTCTGACAAATAAATAAATAAAATCTCAAATTGCTTGCCTCCAAAAAAAAAAAAAAAAGAGAGAGTCTCTTATGGTTTGCCTCCCTCTCTGATTTCATCTTATTTACCTAATGCCTTTTTATTACTGAAATCTCAGCTCAAAAAGCATCTCTTCAAAGAAGGGGCCCCTCACTTTCCTCAACTCTATCTCATTATCTTGTCTTAATTTCTTCACAGCTTTTTTTGACACCTAACATTTTTTATTTTATATTTCAAAACATCAACAATTTTTAAAATCCATTTATACCAGCTCCAAATGGTATTTGAGGATAAGAAACATCCTGATGTTCCCAGAACACTTCACAACTACCTAAAAGTATCTCTTCTTTCTCTTTCTTTTTTTTTTTTTTCTGAGACGTTTCATTTTTTACTCACACATTTAAAAGCAGTAAGAAATATTTTAAAATATCTCAGTGCAGATACATTTTCGACTTCAAATCACCTTACTGCGTTCACATCAGCCTCCCAACTCTTCTTTCTCTTTCTTATTATCCTCTCTCCCTCTATCAGGCTCTATGAGGGCATGTCTGCCATTGTTGGCTACTGTATCCCAGTGCTTAGAACTACGCCCAGTGCTTCTCAGGTGCTCAATAAATATTTGTTGCATAAATAGCTGATGTTCTCACTATAGCCACAAGTTCCCTTTATAGCTGTTTACTGGGCATATCATAGTGACCACATATCCACCTTCACCTCCTCTTGAAACTACGCCTCTTTTGAGAATGAGCTGTGGTGCTCTTTGTGCAGAGGAAATAAGTGATGAACCCCTGATGCATCACCAGGTAAGGCACAGACTGACCAGTAACCACTTCAGTGTGGTGTAGAATAAAAATATGGGCTGGGTCAGTCAGATTTCCTCTCTGACAACCCGACTAGGAAAAGAGAGCAACAGAGGCAGTTCCCAGTTGGACCTGAGGCTGAAAGAGATGAGGGATAAAAAACTGCGTGCCAAGGATGCTAAGGATGGGATTCAAGGGGACAAAATAAGGCATGCAGTGATGAAAATGGAGGAAGTCTATCAGCGATGGGGGACACATGGAAGAGACAGGAGGGATGGAGGGCAGAAGTGGGGGTGTCAGGAGGCATCTCTCACCACTGAAGGCATATGTGGCACCATGGTTGTCAGTCAGCAGTGCAGACAAGGCTAGATACGGGCTACAGCGCATATCCCCACGGCCATGATGGGTGTCATTCCCATGGCCCGTCCCATTCCTGTGTCCATGGCCTGGGGAGAGAAATAGGTGAGGGGGAACACAGAGGGAGGCCAGAGGTCAGAATGAAGTCCGAGGTGGGAGAGACGGCTAGGGTAGTGGGGATGTATACTTCTTCCATAGCAGGACAACTGGGAAGGTCCAGAATGGAGACTGGGCTAGGGCAAGGGCCAAGTGCTATACCACAGAATTAAGGTAGGAGCTAGGGTATGTGGGGTCTGCAAACTCAGGGAAGGTAGATGAATTCCAGCAGATTTCAGGGGCCGGGGCTTTCTCACCTCTGCCAGGGCAGGGTATGAAGTAGTCTCGAACATCCAGAGGGTACTTGGGAAGCACCTCTCCCGTGATGGGGTGGAAGCGCAGGAACTGGTTACCCCGGAAGCAGTAATAGTGGCTGAGCCACTGCAGGGCAGAGGAGCATTCCCCAACAGCTGGCCAAGAGCGCTCCTTTTTGGTTCCCGTAGCAAAGTCCCAGAACCACGTTTGGTTACCTTTGTCCAGTCAATCAACAAACATTCAGTGAGGCCAGGCTATGCCCTCCCTTATGCTAGCATTGGGCCCCACAATGGGCCAGATATGGTCCTGGCCCCATGGAACTCACAGCCCAGCAGGGAAACAGCTGAAGAGAGTGATCATATAATAAAATTCAGCAGGAAAATGCATATGATTGGCTCAGCAAGTGCAGTGAGGAGAGACAGGGAAAGGTTTCCAGAGGTGATAGTTAAACTAATACCTGAAGCAGGAATCACAAGGCAGAGAAGAGGAGGAGATGGAACTCTGAAGGAGGAGAGGAAAGTCTGAAGCTTGAAGCAAATGAGGTGTACAGGGAACAGCATAGAGTCTCTGGAACTTCATACTCAAGGTAAAGGCATGATGAGTGTCAAGGCTGGAGGGTCAGTAGGAACTTGGTCATGGAGAACCTTGTACATAAGACTAAGGAACATAGATTTATCCTAAGGACCATGGGGAACAGTGAAGAACTTTTAGCAGAATTACACCCAGCTACCTCACCCAGGGTGACTTCCTCTCCTTTCCCTATTTGACCTCTAGACCATAACCAGCTTCTCTATTTCTTCCCTTCCTTGGGAAGCCACATGGTGCTCCAACGCCACCACCATCCCTGCCACGACCTCAATCACCACCAACCCAGCATCACTCCAGGCTCTCTTATTCCAGCCTGTGCTGACCTTTGAAGAAGAGGACACCCTCTGCTTTGCATTCCCCACGGTGACATTCCACAGCTGCATCCACCGGTGATGGGATTCCAGGAAACTCTTCTTGGAGCAACTTCGGATAGCCTTTCTCCTTCTCAGGAGGATACACCCAGATTTTGTCTCCCTGCATACAAGTTACTCTATTTTTAGCCGTGGACCCCACATACTGCCACCTGCATTCACACATAACATCTTTGATCTATTGCGTTTATACAGTATCCTCCCCCCCACCCCCACCCCGCGGCCCTACACACTTTCAATCCACCTGTGCATGACAATGTGCTGCCCCTTGTACAAACACATACTCTTAGTTTGTGCAAAACCTGCCACTGTTGCTATAGCACATGCACACATCTGACCACTCCCGTGACACGCTTATCTGTAATACCGTTAGTCTTGGCAAACACATCCACAAATAGTCATCCTGCAATCATCCATCCATTCATATATTCATTTGTTCGTCTATTTATCCATCCATTCACTCAAGAAACAGTTGCTGAGTGACGACTATATGCCAGATATTTGAAAGGCACTGGAGATAAAGGGATGACAAGACTGTCTCTGCCTTCAAGGAGTTCACTATAGAAAAGCAGAAAGGTTCCTACAATCCTAGCCATGCAACCACCAAAGTGGAAACATGTGAAGTGCATTGGGAATGTAAGGGGAGTGCTTAAGCCTACACAGAGAATTCCTGGAAGGCTTCACACAGGAGGAAGCATTGGGGCCAAGAGTTGAAAACTGAGTAGGAATTCAGTGGGACAATTGTGGAAAGGGTGTTACCAGCAGAGGGAGCAGCAGGTGCAGAGCATGCTCAGAGAATTACAGGTAGTCTCCTGTAGGTGGCACATAGTGAATGTGCTGGGGGAGGAGATAAGACTGGAAAGACAACCAAAGGCCAGATCTCAAGACCCACGCGTACCTGACTTGCAGGAATTAGCACAGGGTGGTGCCACTTAATGAAATAGGGGACACAGCATAAAGGGTGGGTTTGTAAGAAAGATACTAAACTCAGTTTGGGGGATACTGAATTTGAGGTACGCACAGAACATCTAAGCCAAAGATATCTGCCAGGAAATTGGAAAGCGATAGCTGGAGCTCTGGGAGAGATCCAGATCTGGTGCCCACGGCATAGGAAGTCCTCAGAGCCGTGGCAGCGGTTGAGATCATGCAGAGAGGGTGTTTTGAAGGGCTGGGACAGATCTCCAAGGAACATTCAGGGACTGGCTGAGGACGGGAAGCTGGAAAACAGCAGGAAAGAGGCAGGAGGGGACAGAAAGCTGGCAGTGAGGGCTGCCCTAAGCACACAGAGCCTTGTACAAATTAGGAGAAGGCGCGCTTCCTCTACGCAGACACAGCCTGGGCCAGGACATGGGACTTGGTGAGCACAGCAGGCTGGACTTCATCTTCCCCTCACCCCTCGGCCAGGTGCCATTGTTATGAACAGCCTGGTCACCATACGAAGAGTCCATGAGGCAGAGTCATGGAGACCAAGGGAAAAAATTACCAGGAAGGAAAGGATGGCCAACAGCATGAGGAGTAGCAGAGAGGTCTGGACAAAGACTGGGCCCGAAGGATAGCCACTGGGTGCTGTGCTTGCCAGGCCCACATACACATACACTCCCTCAGCTTGAGGTTTTTCAGGAAAGGAAGGCACAGGGGGAGGAAGCCTGGAACCTGCTACTGTAAGGAGTCCATGTTAGGGTCACCTGAGGGAGGGTCTCTAGTGTCCATTCCAGCACTTCCCGGCCCAGCCCTGACCTCGGCCCAGCAGTACCTTGATCAGGAAGACGCTGTTGTGACCACGGCGGAATGCGGCATCCACGGGGCTGGTGAAATTCTTCCACCTCTCTGAGATTAACTCCCGGACCCATGTGTGACTCCTCCACACAAACTCCCCTGAAAAACACACACTCACTGAAGGACGCAGAACAAACTTTCGGCCGCTGAGATAGTTACAGAGAAGCTGTGGGTGATGCCCTCAGATAATTCCTGAGGTCTCCCACGGACAGATACACCCTCGGAGAATAGGACAGGTCTGCCGTCCCAAACGCCCCAGCCCAGCCCCTCCTACCTTTGAAGAACAGCATGGCCCCATGTCCATCCAGGGTGGTAGCATCAAAGCTCCCGCCAAACAAGCAGAGTTCTGGGGTGGGGGTGGGGACATGCAAGTAGAAGCCCAGTCAGGTAACAGAACGCAGAGACACAGCCCAACAGACAGACTCAGGGAGTCAGGGCCTCACCGGTCACGTCTGGTTTCACTCTGGTCTCATTCCCACCTTTGGGCCTGTTCCCAGGGGTACCGTCCCTAGAGAGAAGACGGATGGTTGTCGGATCCACTGGGCCCAATCCCCCTCCCTTAGCTCCTGTCTTCAAACTTGCCCCGGCCTAAAAACTGGCCCTATGCTACTCTAGCCCAGTCCCCAGTCCTTCCCCAGCTCCAGCTTTACTCACGGAGGAAGAGGGTGGGCAATAGCCAGAGACCACCACAGGCCCAACAACCCCAGTGCAATGGGTGTTCCCCATGCCCGAGCCATGCCGAGATGCCACAGGACAGCTCTGGGCACCTGGCTCAGTTCCCTATATAGAGATGGTGGCAGCACCACCCCCACCACGAGCCTGCTGATCGTCCAAGTCCTGTCTCTCAGAACTATGCCAATATTGGATGATTACGTCAGTGCAAATAAGGTCAGGGTCTGGACAGAAATCTGAGTCCAGGACTAACTCTTCCCGGCAAGAGGCCCCATCCCCCTTCAATGACTTTTGAGCGGTAACTAGCCCATGCCACTGAAGCCCACCTGTGACTCTCATCGCCTTGAGGACGGGTCAAGGAAGGATGTAGATTAATTGAGGATCACCTTTCTGTGGTTGGATTTACCTCTACAATGTGGGAGGAGAGAAGCAGAGGAAACTACCATTTTTGTGTACTAAGTGTCGAGCCATGCTCTAAGACAGCTAAAGTCACTGATACTTACATCTATTTAGCAAACACACTTAGAAATACTCAGAGGACAGCTTTTTCCAAGCTTCATCAAGGGTCTTTCTGGGGCATTCCCAAACCCCTTCAGCTTTGCCCTTGATGGGTCAATTATATTTCACTGTCGCCAAATGTCCAAGTCCCACCCCCGGCCCCAGCCCTGCTAGCAAAGTACTTAGAAAAATCACCTGGGAGGGAAGGGCTGAATGGGGCAGAAAGAGGTGTCTCTCTCTCGCATATTGCATTTCTAGTAATTACTCTTTCTTGGTAATTTCCACCTTAAGGGAAAAGTGCTTTATTTACCCATCCCAGAATAAACAGAACTGTAACTGGGGTTTCACAATATTTACTGCTGAGTCTTGCCTAAATGCTTTCTCAATGAAGCCTTTCTTGACCACCTTATCTAGCCATTTCCAACACTTGCATAATTCCTTCATGTCACTTATTAAAGTGTGAAATTATTTCATCTACTTATTTGTTGCTTTTTTTTTCTTTGTTTTGCCCATCTTGTTTACCATAACATTCTCTCCACCTAAAATAGTACCTGGTGCATAATAGGTGCTCAATAACTGTTGAATGAAAAAAAAAAATGGATTTCACCTACTGACTAGTGTTGCTAATGTTGCAGCCGAATTCCTAACAACTGTCTTTCCTTCTGGGGTGAGGGGAATATCAGGAATTGAGGGTGTGTTAATGATGGGAGGCATATTGTGATCCAGAGGTCACAGGTCCCCTTGTCACTGCCCTTCATCTGATGGTCTTCTTTCTCTCTCCAGTGTCCCACTCCCACATCCCTCTCTTCCTCCAGCCCTGGGATCCGACTTGTTATTTCTAGCATCTGCTATCTTCAGTACTCCTTGGGGCCACTCCCAGATGGGGCCTGCCCCATCTCCATCTAAGACTTGGCTGCTGAATCAAAAGACAAATATGGGCAGTCAGCTATGGGCCAGGCTGAGGTTCCAGGACCCCTGTTCCCTAGTCCAGCCTGAAAGGGCCCTGATCCATCTCAGATGGCTCCATGTCCCTGACATTCCCCTATATAACCTTAGCAAAGATCTCAGATTCCTTTTCTACTCTGCAATGTTTCCTCCCAACAGGAAAACAAAGATTTGTGGGGCCTCTGGAACATGTCACTAGGCCTCTGCCATCAGGCTCAATGTTCTCGCTTGACTTATAAATGAAAATGTGCCTTTTAACATCATTCCTCCCTGCTAGTTAGTGGGCAAAGCTGGACCCCACAAGCCTTTGGCAGCATGGGCAAATGCCAGGGCTCCTATGGCAGATACCTGACACCCACCTTCTCCCTACTGCAGGGCATCCCTGGTTGGACCTGCTCCACCCCAGTTTCTGGGCACAAGGCACAGGGAGTACCACCCTAACTCACTCTCACCTGTTTTTTTGCTCCTCAGTCTCTAAAACCTCATATAACGTTCCTGGGGTTCTTCCTACTGAGCATCCAGTAGCCCTTCATCAGCAACCCCCTCAACCACTGTCTCTAGCTCCAGACCTGTGCCTACATGTCCTACAGATTTCACTGAGCCTGCCAGGGAAGAGGGAGGTTTTCACACTGAGTCACAAACACCCCTCAGAAAATCCACAGTGAGGGGGTCTCAACAGTTATATTATCAGGATGCTGCATAGCCCTGCTGGTCCAAGGGAGCAGCTAGCAGCCTCCTTTGCCCTAGCAGGACTCTGAGAACATATACCGGATGGGATTTTTCAGCTTAGCGTCTTTTTCCCCCACCCAGCACTGGTTCCCTTCACAGCACCCCTGGGTCTATCTATCCAGAAGAGTGATTTGTGGCACTTTTTCACTACTGTTTCCTAATTCTCTTTTCTACCTTAAGGGGGCTTAGGTAGCATTATAGGAGCCTTCGCCTGCCCTCCCTGCTCCCCAGCCTCCCCATCATGCCCTCCCCGTGCCCCTGCCCTTCTCCCCGGCCCCACCTTCACAGGGACTAGACAAGCAGAGTCGTCTGCATAGGCAGGCAGTTCTGCTGAAGCTCAAGTTCTGAGCAGGAGCTAAGAGGTGGAGTTTGGGAACCGAGGCTGTGGCTATGTTGGCCATTCTGGTGTCAGTCACAGGGCACAAGGCAACTCTTCTCAGAGGACCCACATAGGGCTGGCCCTGCTTCTCTGCTCACTCGAGGCGGCCATTTCTGCTTCTCCAGAGTCCCTCCCAGCCCTCTGGCCTGGGCTGAGAAAGTGCTTGTCCATACTTGGTCCTGAGCGCCCCCTGGAGGCCACAGGGTTCAGTGCACACCCACCCTTCAACCAGAGGCCAGAGGCTTGGAAACCGGCTCTCCATAGCCTTCTTGCCTCACTCCTCTCAGCCTGGCTATGGGGCCTTAGCAGTACCCCTTCCTCTGCAAACCTCTGCTGCCCAGAGCAGGTTTGGGGGGACCTCAGTCTCTTGCTTGATTTCCTGGGGAATTCAAGCCCAGAAAAAGCCAACCATCCCTTTTCCTTGTGGTCTTCCCAATCCTATCCAGCAACTTTCGGCTTCCCCTGAAGGGCGTCTGAATGTGGGCCTGCAAATGTCTTCATGGGCAGAGCTTCCCCTTACATTGCACGGGCTACATTTAAACTGGACACTGACCCACTGTCCCTTGGAATGACTGTGTCCAGTCTGCCCCACCCCTGGTCTGAGTTCTCTGATCTCAGTCATTTCTCCTGGGGCCCACTGAGGGCTGCATGTGCTGGGCCTGCAGTCTGTGGCTGTGTACTCCCAGGAGCAGCGCCTGGATTCCTTTTCTGTGATTTAGAGGGCTTGGGATAAAGCTCCAGGCACCAAAAAGAGCTAGCTGCTCCCTCCAACCATGCACGTCTGCTCTTGTTCTGCCTATAACGGGCCTCCCTGCATAGTCCATTCTTGCTTCTCTATGAATAAATATACTGATAATTTGCCTATATCTCTTCGGCACATGTATGTGCCTGGCACTGTGCTTCATATGGATTGTTTCATTAAATCATAAATATGAGATATATATATATAATCTCATATATATATGATACTATCTGTCCCATTTTACAAATGAGGGAACTGATATTAGGTATCATAGCCAAATCCCATTGTTCGCAAGTGGTAGAGCTACGATGAAGTGCTGGCTGCCGGACTTTTCGGGCTGTGCTCGTTACTCTATCAAAGGAGGTGCTGATATATGTGTTAACAGCCAGCTCTCCAGAAGGGAGAAAGCCCTGATTTGTAGCATGCGCTAATTTCTGTGGGTAAATCTCCTATTATGGCCATCGTCAAGCTACAAATAAGACATCACCAAAGTAGAATTAAGAAGAAATGCACAGTAATGTACTACTTACTATACGGTGTTTCCACCAGGCAGATACAATAGATGTAAATAACCTGAAGAACACAGGTAATAGTAAAATGCAGTAAAATAATTAGGAAGTGATGAGTTTCGAGTATGATATTGGACTTCAAATTTACATAACTTAATTTTTAATAATGGCTGGGTTTCAACAACCAGCTGTCAAAATTCCTGAAGATTTAACCCTGAGTCCTGTGAGCCGGTATGAACCAGCTCCAGCACCCCACTGCCCACCAGACTGCCTTAGTAGACAGGACAAGGATGTCATCTGCCCTATTCCCCACTATTTCTTCAGTTCTTAGAGCAGGGCCTGAAATGTTGTATGTGTTAGTATTGAATTCTATTGTTCCTACCTTCTGGTCAGACCTAAAATTTATCCACTTCTCTCTGCCTCCCTCAAAATGCAAACACCATCTCTTGTTTGACCACTGAAATAGCCCCTCTTGTTTGACTGCTGAAATAGCCCCTCCCTCCCTGCTTCTCCTGCCCCTCTAGGGTACATTCTTCATGGCAAGCACAATCTTCAAAAACATGCCTAAAAACACCTTAATGCTCCTGCTTAAAAGTTTTTTTCTTCCTTGAAGACAAAAATCAACTTTAATTCTACTAATCAGAGAACACCACTATGAACATTTTATCTATTCCAGCCTTTCTCTATTCTTCCAACATCCCTTCTGAAACAAAGATGTAATTTTATAAAACCTTTTTCTTCCTTAGTGTACCTCAGACATTGGCATTTTTAAAAGGATGCATATAATTCCACCATATATTTAAGCAAAACTTATATATAGCTATTCCCTGCTGAGGGACACTTCAGTTTTTCTAGGATTATTTTTTTCCTATTATAAATAAAGCTGTGATAAACATTGGTGCTTACACCTCTTTGTGCCTTTGCCCAATTTTTTCTTAGAAAACTTCTTTTTCTTAGAAAACTGGAAGACTCTAGATGATTTTAAGGTGTCTATGGTCTTCAAGGGGAGCAGTTTAGAGAGGTTGAATTTTGTTCTGTTTTTTATTCTCACTTTTCTTTCCACCCCACGGAACCGCTGTCCAGCTGCCTGTTCATTCCATAAGGCATCCTCTCATCTCTGGCACTTAAACCTTTCTGTGGTTTACTAGGATACTCCAGATCAAATCCAAACTCCATCTGACTTAAATAATCCAACACAGGCATGACTCTCAAAACTTGTTCCTTTCCTCTCTTCCTCCACCTTCCTTCCTCCCCGTCACCCAGGCCTCCTTTCAGGTCCTCCAATACACTGAAATCTTGACCCCTCAGGACATTTGTACCTGTTCTTCCTTTGTCTGGAAATCTCTACCTTCTCTTCTTAACACAGGTGGTTCCCTACCCCCCACCCCCACCCCAGCCTGCAGGTCACTGCGGCCTTCCTTGCCCACCCGATTTAACATCGTATTCTTCTAGGTATTGCATTCTATTCATTTCCATCACAGCTTTAACAGACTGCCGTTACACATTTACGCCCTTGTGTTTACTTGTTTGCCTGCCTTCCCCAATAAACTTTGCCTCTGTAAGGGCAAAGAACATTTCTGTCTGTATTCCCAGGGCCCACCACTCTGACCAATAGTAAGTGCACAGAAGTACTTGTTGAATGAATAAATGAACCCGCTGGCCATATATGGCCAGAGGGCTGTTCTGATTACCTGACTGCCCTATATAAGACAGGTGTGATCCCTCGTGGGACCACAAAATAACTTTCTGACCTGGCCCAGCGGGGGCTCTGCAGCAATGCCCAAGTCTGTGAAGATGATTTAAGGCTTATGCCAACTAAGTCAAGGCTTCGCCGCTACTGCCAGGCACTCCTTCCAGCTACTTCTGGGCCCAAGGCCTAAACTTGGGGGGGAAATGCCCACCGTGATCAGGCCAAGAGGAAGTGAGTAACCCCACCTTGAGATACTGTCTGCATGGCTTAGGCAGACAACCTAAATTGGTATCTATGGAAATCAGCCCCAGCAGCCTGTTCTCCGTCTGGTAGGAAAGCCATCTGGGGCTTCCCACCCAAGGAAGTTCATTTTTATTGCCATTTTATCCCCCTGCTTTTAGATGTCGAGAATATGAGTGTGTGACAAGTTTGGGAACTTGGAGCTTGCATCCTCAGTACCGTTGGTGCTTTGTCACAGAGGGCGTACGTACACCCGAAACCAGTGTGACATTCTGTGTCAGCCATACTTCAGAAGGGAGTGCGGGGGAGGGATAGACTATCCACCTGTGAACTCCAGGGACGACCCCACTGGTGCTGAGTGACCTATGATTGAGCACACCCATCTCTGCTGGCCAGGCAATCCTACTCATAACTGGAGCCAGAAGTGCAGGCCCTATAAGACCACCTGCCCCAGAACTTCAGGGAGTTCATCTGTCCCTATACCTGCCTACCAGGTCCCAACCAGTGAGACAAAGAGGATCAGAGAGGTGAAGATAACCAGGACTTCCATGTGGTTCACACGGTGCCCCCTTGATCTCGGCAAAGTCCCCATGGTCTTCCACAGGTCCCTGGACAGGCCCGCCCATCCTCGCTCCAGGAATCAAGCCACATAAGGACAATGTCTTGAGCTTTCCCAGGACCTCTCATAACTAACCTATCAAGATCCATCGTTCCCCAAATCTTGTTGAGTGCCTTCTCTGCCAGTTATCATGCCAGATGCAAGGGGCGTAATGAGTAAGGTGCTACTTTCAGGTTAGAGTATGACAGCTGTAGATTTAAGTCCAGGCTCTGCTCTTCATCAGCCATATGCCCTACTCCTCTGAGCCTCAGCCTTTTGTAGAGGGAGAAGTCATAGTCCCTGCCTCCCAAATCATTGAGTGCTGGTTGTAATTATCTCTGGAACTGGCAGCCAAACCCTGGCCCACAAGAGCTCAGGATGCTAGGACCCCCATTCCACCAAGGAGAATGGGCAACAACCGTAGAATGGAGAACAAGCAGGGCTCCAGGCCTTCAGCACTGAGCTCTAAGACTGGCTCTGGAGTCTCTCACATGCTGCTTCCACGTGGGCTTAGCCCCAAGGTCCAGGTTGTCCCGAGCTTCCAGGATTACTAGCATAGCCTCACACTGTTCTCCCTGCAGCTGCTGGCTGTGTTCTGGTCAAGGGTCATTTTCTCCCAGGCTCCTTCTCAGCTGTAGGGCAGACAGCCAAAGGACTTACTATTTCTGCAGGAGATGTGGGCCTAGGGACAGGGATTTGGCAGGTGGCTAAGAGCCCCACAGATTCACCCTCTCTTGCGCTCCACTCCCGAAACTGTAAAATATCAGGACTCTTTGGGAATCTGGATCCTCTGCCTACCTGCTTGTCCATCCTTTAGTTCAGAACGAGTCCCAACCTCCTGTACCCTCACAGCCCCACCCCACAAGAAAGCAACAAAACCATCTTGGTGAACACATTTACTTAATATGGGGGGTGGGGTATTGCTGTCTCTGTCAGTGTGTACAGGGTGGTAGGGAGACAACCAAAGGGACTTCTGCCCTGGAGTAAGAGGCTGTTCTGGCCCCAGGCTGGGGGGTGTGGAGCAGACTGAGGGGGACAGGGCAGGTGTGTAAGGGATGGAGGGTAGGGTGAAGCTCTGCACACATCCTTGGGACCACAGTCCAGGCCCACCCAGTCACCAAAGCAAGAACCGAATAAATAAAGTGCAACCGTGGGGTTGGGAGAGGGGGAGAGGGAGGGCACCGGGCGCACCCACGCCCACAGCCCACATTCAGTGCTGCCAGGTCCGGCCCACCTCCTGGCCAGACCCTCTTGTCCAATCCCCCCATGACTGTCCCTCCACGAGCCAGGCAGGGCCCCTGTGCAGCTACTGGAGGTAGCGATAAGCTTTAAAGCAGTGGTTGCCAGCATCGGCCACCACCACGTGTCCATCTGAGGTCAGTGCCAGGCCCTGCGGGCCATACAGTGGCTCTGCAGACGTGTTGATGTAGGACAGGAAGGAGCCAGAGCTGTCGAATACCTGGGGAATGAGTGGACAATGGAGGGAGAGGTGAGAGCAGGCGGGTGGGAGGCATTTGCAGGGGGATGGGGAGGGGTGCATGGAGCACAGCAGGAAGCCTCACCCTCATGCCATCCCCAGGCCTCACCTGGATGCGGCTGTTGCCCCAATCAGCCACGATAATGTTCCCGTTGGAGTCCACTGCTACTCCCGTGGGGGCATTGAACTGCCCATTGCCCTCGCCGTGGGAGCCAAACTTGAAGAGGAACTCGCCGTCGGCACTGTACACCTGGCAGGGGAAAGGGCTGGGGGCTGGGGACCTGGCCTCAGGCAGAGGGCAGGGCCTTAGAGGAGGTGGGGTGAAGCCCCAGGGCTGAGGACCCCCAGGTCTGCAGCTCCAGCCCAGTTCTTCCCACACCTCACGGCCATGCTTCCCACTGCCTACTGACTATCTCCAGCTAGTGTCCCTCGGGCATATCAAATCCAACAGCTCAACTTCCCCATGCTCTCTTTCTCAGGGAACGGCAATACCCATTTGGCCAAGATTCATTCTCAACTCCGCCTTCTCCTCTGCTTGACAACCAGGGAATTCACACAACGGGCTGATTCTATCTCAGATCTGCACCCTAGTGTATGTATTGCTACTAGGGTGGTCCTCAACATTTCTCATCTAGATTACTACAAAAGACTGATCTTCCTGACACTTGTCTCGCCCCAGCCAGAGTGATCTTTCTAAGACCCAGGACTGCATTGCCCTGTGGCCTGCAAGCCCTCAGTGACTCCCCACAGCTCTTGGGAACAGAGCACACGGGACTCGTCGGCACCTGAACCACTCCCCTCTTCAAACTCAGTCTGAACTACTTGTGGTGTTTTGAGCACACTGAAGGGTTCCTGCCTCCAGTTCTTGGCTCCTCCTGTCCCCTTTGCCTCAAATCCTCTCCTCCTTCTCTCCCTCCTGGTGAATTCCCCTGCTGCTTTAGGTGGTTCTCTGTCTCACCTGAATCAAATGCTTCTGCTATGCCCTCACACAGTTCCTTGCACTTCCCTACTACATAACTGTAACATAATAATACACTGTAATATGCGGCTTTACCTCTTCCCTACTAGACCATTACCAAGAAGACAGAGCGTATTTGCCTTGTTCATCACTGTATCCCCAGCTTCTAGCATAGTGCCCGGGACAAAGTCGCCATGCCATAAATGCTTATTGTTCAAAGAAATGATCTCAAGGTGGTGGGGGCGGTGGGGAGGTGAGGGAGAGAGGGGTCTTGTGAAAGAGGAAAGGATGTTGGGACAGCGGTCATAGAGGGAGGGAGGACACTGACCTTCACTGAATGGTTATGGAAATCCGTCACTACAATCTCATTCTTGTTGTTCACAGCCACAAAATGGGGCCCTGAAAATACAAAGTGGTTTCTAGGGCAGTGAGCTGGGATACTGAGTGGGATGAATTAAGGGTATCTGGGATGACAAAGCTGGGCTGCTGGAAAAGGGCGGTGCCTCAGAGGCTGACAGGTGCCTTGGGATGATGGTACTAGGGTACAGTCAAGGGAGGGGGGTCTTCTAAGGCCAAGATATAGGAGGAGGGGTGGTTAAATCTGGGGTAACCAGGGTAGTTCTCTGGGGCTGGGGTATCAGAATTGTTCCACAATACCTGCAAAGTGGCGATCAGTGGCCCCACGGCCCCCAAAACGGCCAACCAGCTTGCCATTGGGCTGGAAGGTAAAGACGCAGCAAGACTTGTTGTCGACCACAATGATATGTCCATTCCGGTCTACGGCCACTCCTTTGGGGCCCATGAGACGGCCAGCTCCAATCTTGGTCTGGAGGAAGGGGATACCATTCGGGGCTTTATCCTGCCTTGTGGGGAGAGTAGTGCCAGCCCAACACTAAAGGAAAACCTTGGGCTGGGGATGGACCATTCCAGGCCCTGACTACCAGGAGGCACTAGAATGGTCACCTCAGCCGGCCATCAGAAGTGCAGAACACTTGGCCATCAGAAGTGCAGAACACCGTGACAGTAGGCCTCTTACCTTGAATTTGCCCTCAGGGGAGAAGATGCTGACCCAACGGTTGTCATAGTCCGCCACAATAATGTCTCCATTGGTGTCCACTGCCACACCTGTGGGGCGCTGCAGCTGCCCGGGTGAGCGCCCTCGGACCCCAAAGCGGAATTTGAACTGGCCTTCATTGGAGAAAACCTGGAGCAGAGGAGCAAGGGAAGGAGCGGGGAGGAGGGGAGAGACTGTGGGCACAGAGGGAAGGGAGCGAGATCCTGAGGGAGGAGACCCCCCATTCATTCAGCCATTCAACCAGCACTTACTCACACCATGCTGGGGGGTACACAGAAGAATCAGACACAGCTGCAGACCTGAGGTGACACGCAGCACAGGTATGAATGAGAGAGACTGTAGGAATATGGGGGGGGGGGGGGATGGTCAGGAAAGGCTTTGAGAGAGAGCTATCTGAGTTAACAGCCTAATAAGGATGCCAAGAGACAAACCACGTTGGCCAGTAAAGGACGAGGAAAGGCATTTAAGCAGAGTGAACAGTATGTAAAAGGCACAGGGTCCAGTATGGGCATTGCTCGCCCAGGGGAGCTGGATTGCGGGGAGCACTCCCATGAACAGCAGAAAGAGTAGGGTTTTATCCTGGGTGTAATGAGGATTCACTGAAAATTTCTGGGCAGGGGAGTGACAAGATGAGATTTGCTTTTGTGGTATAACAAGAAATATACTTGGTCTTTGTCCCCAGTGCCTGGTGCAGAGCTCCTCAAAACCTTGGAATTTCCTGATTAATAGGAGTGTCTTTGTCATTCACAAGGAGCCCCTTTTGAGCTTATGCTGATGAGGTGACTTATGATGGGGCTGGAACCTAGAAAGACCAAATCATTAAAGGGCTGAAACTTTCAGCCCTACCCACCAACCTCTGGGCAGAAGAGGCGAAGGTACAGATTTGATGTGCTCCCAAGTTGGTGCTGGGAGGGTGGTGTGCCCCAGTTCTACAGGGAGCAAAGTTCCCACACTAGAAACTCTTCTAGACCTTGCCCTATGTACTTTTCCATCTGGCTGTTCATCTGTATCCTTTACAGTAAACTGGTAGACCTAATTAAATGTTCCTCTGAATTCTATGAGCGACTGTAGCAAATTCATCGAACCTGAAGAGGTGGTTGTATGACCCTCCAATTTATAGCTGGTCAGTCAGAAGCATAAGTAACAACCTGGACGTGTGACTGGCATCTGACATGGGGACAGTCTTATGGGAAGTGATGCTATCTCTAGGTAAATAGTGTCAAAATTCAGTTACATTTGCAGGACACCTGGTCAGGGTCCACTGAGAGTTGCTTGCTGGTGTTGGAAAAAACACATGGGAGCTTTGAAGAAAGAGTACTCTGGCTGCAGGCAGGAGTCCAAAGTGGGCGCTTGCTGGGCAGTCAGGGGTGCTACACTAGTCCAGGGGAGGAGGGATGATGGCTTGTTCCAGGGTACTTGCTGGAGCAAAGATGGACTCAGGACACATGGGAGGAAGACAGTAAGACTTGGTAGTGACAAGAAAGGGTGGGGTGTTGAACAAGGATGAGGATGTCCAGGCTAAGAGGCTGGCAAAGTAACCTTCCTCCTGGACAGGTTTTTCCCCTCTCCTACCTCCTCCCTTAGCCACCCAACATGCTCAGGTCTCCCCATCCTAAAAACACCTCCTTTAATGCTCTTTCCCTTTACAGCCAAGCCAGGACCAGCCTCGGGGAACTCAAGTTCTGGGTCTTGGCCTTGCTCTTCCATCCAGACATGCTCCTTCCTTAGTGGACTAGGCCCCCTGCTCCTGCCCCATCCCCATCTCTTGGGCCTGCAGGGCTGTTTGAACTGGTCCCACCAGCAGACATCAATCCCTCCTGATGTGGACTTCCAGCATGTCCTCAGCTGGGTGGCCAACCCAGCGGCTGGGGTCTGCCCTGGTCCCCTGTGGCAGGCCAGCACAAGCCAGCATGAGAGGGAGGCACCCTGAGCAGAAGAGCTGATGTCAGAGTGACTAAAAGTTCCTGCCAGATCAGCAGTGAGGCTGTGTGGCTGCCCCCCACCCACCCACCCACCCACCCACCCCCAGTCTGAGCAGCTCAGTTTCCAGCTCAACACTGAGGCTTTAGGGCGGGGGGTGTCTCGCTCTTCCCTTCCTATCCTATCCCACCTCCGACAGCTGGTAACTCCATTCATCTTGTGAATCTCAGAAAATTCCAGGTCACTTTTTCAGAGAAGGTCTTCAGGACCAACTCCAGCCCCTGAATCAATACACACACATAAAGGCAGGCCTCCATGACCTATGCTTTACAGTTCTCCCGCTAACAACGGTCACTCCTGTAACTAACTGCTGCACACCCTCATCTCCCAAGAAGGTAAGCGTCAGGTGGCACAGGGACTGCCTGCCTGGTTTGCCCCTGCATTCGCACTGCTGGCACGGCAATGGGCACACGGCAGGCAGTCAACAAATGCATGAATTCCTCCGCTCAAGCTCACACAGAACTGGTCACCTCCACTCAGCTGCCGCACAGCCGTCGCATGCTCAACATGTGCAGAAGGGAAATCATCAACTGATACCCAGGCCTGCTCCTGAACAGCAGCACCAGCGGCCCAGTGCCCCAAGTCCTGCCATTCTTGATCCCGCCTTCTCCCTTGACCTCTGAAGGCTCAGCAAAACCTGCCATCTTTGCTTTCTTAACATCTCCAGAATCTGCTGGTGCCTTCGTTTGGTCCTTGACACCTCTCTCCTTTACCATGGGAGCACTAAGTAACTTCAGGATCTGAGTCCAGTTGGGGGTGGGGGGAGCAGAGAGACTAAAAAAAATAACACAATAAACCAGTGACTCTGATAAAGAATGAAGAGTGTTATAGCAAAGGCTGAGGGAACTCAGAGAAGAATGTGATTAATATTCTGCCTGAAGGAAATGAGGAAGTCTTCACAGAAGAGCTGATAAAACTTCTGGACCAAGACTATTACACAAGGATATAATATATACAAATCAAATTCTTCATTCAAAATCACAAAATGTTTTTTCTCTTCTGTCAGCTGATGCTGATTCGGCACAACAAAGGGATTTGCCTCAGCTATCATCATAGACAGTCCAAAGGAGGAGAAGTTCACAAGGTCAGCAAACCTCATGAACGGGGTGGGGAGGCAACATCGATCTGGGAGCCTGGCCCATATCAAACTGGAGGACCCCAAAATAAGGGAAGCAGGAACTCAGCTCTGGAATCCAAGAGCCCAGCTCCTAGCAGTTATGAAATTAGGATGCAGGTGGAGTAGGAGCAAGAAGGAGGGCTGCTGTAGGAGCAGCAGGTATCTGGAGAGGACAGGGGGCTGCCCCAGGCCCTCCCTCTCAATTCCCCAGTCCCTCATCAGGGAGACAAAGCAGCAAACATCTTTATGTGCATGTGAGCACCCATGTGTGTGCACACCGGGGACAGGTTCCCAAATCTCAGCCTTTGGGCCAGAAGGCATCCCTGGCATAAGAAGGAGAAAAAGAGTTGGAAGGTGGAGGGTGGGACTGAGGAGGGCCTCGGCGCCACCCTCTCCCACCTGATCCCTCCCTCACTGTCCAGGCTGGACCCAAATGCTTCCACGTGCTGCCCCACGCCTCTCCATTCCTCTGCCCTTTGGAATAGGCTAGGAGTAAAAGCAGGCTGGACAGGACCAGGAATATGGCCATGGAAGAGTTCCTGGCACCTTCAGCCTGCTAACATGGAAAGCAAGGGGTGGGGGCAGCTGACGTTGAGGGGACAGACCTGTGGCAGGGGTACTCAGGTAGGGTCAGAAAGAACTTTATAGGTGTTGTGAAGTGAGGATCTTCAAGAAAAGTTTTGCAACCTGATAAAATGTTTCCAAGAATTGAAGTGCATGGTAGTTAGAAACAATCCTGCACAGGATAAAATCAAAATTCCACAGCATCCTCTCCAAAACTGTTTACAATGTGCCCTCCGCTACTCGGCTCCTAATAGTAATCTACCTCCAGCTGGCTGGGATCCTTCCAGTTCCCTGAACAACCCCCTCCAGCACTTTCCTACCTCTTGGCTTTTGTTTACATTTCTCCACCTGGACAATGATATTTTTAACAATACCTAACATTAGAAGGTTCACCAGGTGTCAGGCACAGTGCATTATGTCATTTTAATGCTCCCAGCAACTCCATGAGGTATTCTTTTCCTAATTTTACATGAGTTAACTAAAGCTCAGAGAGTCACATGACTTGTCAGTAAGTGGCAGAGCTAGGATTCAAGCCCGGGTGTCTGGTTTCAGAGCCTGAGCTTTTAACTGCGATACTTTTTAACTGCTGGTGCCTGTCACTAGTCTCTGGGCTCGCTACAAGAAAAACAGAAAGAAAAGCATGCTTCCTGGATTTAAGGAGCTCAAAGTGCAGTGAGGCCACGTCCGTTTGTGTTCTGTGGCAGACGCTTCCATCAGGTGTGCGAGAGGGGTGCCTGGGTGACTCAGTCCTTGGGCGTCTGCCTTCGGCTGGGGTCATGATCCCGGGGTCCTGGGATTGGCCCCGCATCGGGCTCCCTGCTTGGCGGGAAGCCTGCTTCTCCCTCTCCCACTCCCCCTGCTTGTGTTCCCTCTCTCGCTGTCTCTCTCTCTCTGTCAAGTAAGTAAATAAAATCTTTAAAAAAAATCAGGTGTGTGAGGGACGGGGAGCACCAGGGCAGGACCACCTGTGAGGTTGCACTATAGTTTAGCCTCTGGAAGACACCTCTTTTCCCAAGTTACCCCCATTTGACTGTCTTAGCCAGCCAGATGTTTGCAGAGACCAGCACCAACAAGAAACTGAGAGCCAGCTACTCTGGAGCCAGGCTGGTATGATGAAAGAAAGCAGGGGAGCCTGCATCCTAACCACGTGGGGACAGGGGAGAAAGGAAGCCAGTCAGGTGGAGGCTCAGAGAGAGAAAGGTATGAAGAATGAACCAGATCTTTGGGGTCCAGGAGCTCGTGTGGCCTGAGGCCCAGCCTCGGAGGTAGAGGCTGCGAGCACAGTAAAACCCCGGTGCCTAACTGTGAAGGTGCAGGATGGTGTCGTGGCCAGTGGGAGTGGATGGCAAGCAGGTGGATGAGGGATGGTGCTATGATTCATTGCTCTTTAAGGACCGGTACTATCTTCAAGGACTGGTTCATCTTTCAAGAGGTGATCTGTACACTCTTGTTCTTTCAGGAGGCTCTAGTTTGAGGACCTTTATTGGCGTCACGGGAGAGCAGGAAAGGCGCTTACCTGGATACATTGGTTGTTACTGTCTGCTACCACTATGCGGCCGCTGCAAGCTGCCGACACTCCCTGTAAATTGGTGAATTCGCCCTTCTCCCTTCCCCGGCTGCCTGTGGGGAAGGCAGGGAAGGAAAACAAAACAATTCGCCGAGGTCCTTTAGAGTCGCCCTCCCGATCCGCCCTGCCCCCGGCCTGAGCCCGCCCCCCTCTGGCTCCGCCCGCAGCCATCTGTACCGACTCGGAAGACAAGCTCGTCCTCAATGGGGTTGTCCTTCCGTTTGCCGCCCGTGCTGTACATGGAGCTGGGCCTACGCACTGCCTTCTGGCGCACGTGGCTGCCCGGGCCGCCGGGGGACTTGACGCGGCGCTTGACGTCGTCCGGGGAAGGTGGCAGGTCCCCAGGACGCAGGGCTCGCACGCGGAAGGGGCTGCCGCGCACCGGCTGTCCGTAGAGCAGCACTGAGAGGAGCAGCTCGCCTTCCGTGCGCGCCGTGTACACTAGCTCGTACGTGCCGTTCTTGTGGTCCACCACTGGCACGGGAAGGCGCGTGCCGTCGGGGCCGGTGATCTCGGCGCGCAGCTCGGCGCTGCCCGTGCGCACCAGCCTCCCATCCTTGTCTTTGGTGGTGACGGTGAGCGAGGCTGGCTGGCCCACAAGCGCTTGGCGCAGGCCCTCACCTGTGGCCACGGTCTCGTGTGCGGTGGCGCTCGTGGTGAGCAGCGCGCCGAGATTGAGCACCGACCGCCGCAGCCCGTCGACCTCGAGGACCAGTTCCAGCTGCGCGTTCTCGTGGGGCCGCTCCGGGAAGGCCTGAGCCGCCAACGCAGCCAGCCGCTCCCGCATGTGCTTGCGCACTAGCAACACCTCCGGGGCAGAGCCCAGGCGCAGCGCCTGCTCCGCGAAGCTGCAGCTGCTGCCGATGTGTTCCTGACCCTGGCGCAGTGTGTCTAACTGGGTCTGCAACACCTGAGGAGGAGGTGGGGGAGGTTTGGGGGCGCACACTGGCACAGAAAGGGTCTCTGTGATTGCTTAGGACCTTACGGTACCATAGCATGAAAGAAATGCGAGAGGGTGAGTATGGACAAGGGACACAGATACCGCGGTACCTATGGGGCCAGGTCGGGAGGCAGAAAGTATAGTCTGGGGAAGGGGTGCCCAGGTATGGGAAAGCAGGAAAAGCATGGTGGCGATAAGGCCATCCCACAATGCACGGTGGTAGGCAAGGGTGAACAGACGCACCTTCTGCTTGGCCCCACAAATGGCCTCCAGGTCGCTGACCAGAGCCTGCTTGCGCTGCTGCAGCGCTTGCTCCAGGTCCTCGAAGGCCGCGCTGATCTGGGCCAGGGCCTCGGCTTTGCGCTCCTGCAGCTGCTGGCTGATGCCGCCCACTAAGGCGATAGCTGCGGACAGCTGTGGCAGGCTGGGGGGCGGAGGGGGGACATCGCATACTGGGGTTGCCTGAGGATGCCTTCACCAAACCACTCCTTCTCAGGGGGGAATCTACTGTGCCCCTAGGAGGTCCCCTACCTGAGACCTCCCTGCCCTCCCGAAGAATTTTATTTCTAGCCTCCCCAGGGCCCCTCCCCTGTCCGTCCCTCTCCCTGACGGCCCCACCAGCCCAGGTTCCCACCGGGCTCCTACCGGCCGCGCACCGCCTCCAGCTGGCGCTGCAGGGCCGCCTTGTGCTGCTCCACCACGTCCCGCAGCAGCACGGTGCCGTGCTCCCGGTGCTCCCCCGCGCGGCACTCGCCGCACATGGCCGTCTCGCAGGCCTCACAGTAAAACTCCATCGTCTGGCGGCGTAAGCGCTCCAGTCAAGCAATGACTAGACACCTAACTTCTTCGTCTCCTCCCCTCCCGCTCTGCCCTCCTGGCCCCTCACCTTCCAGGTGTGCCCCTACCTGGCCCACTTATCCAGAGAAACACCCTCTTACCCGCAGCCACTTGGCCCCTCCCCCAACCGCTCCTCGCCCTCCACCCCAAGTCCTGGCCTCACTGGGCCTGCTTGGGCCCACCTTGCCTTCATGGTTGGGGCAGGAGAGGGGGCGGCCAGCCACTGCGCTGAGGGGGTGGGGGTCCTCGGGGTCGTGGGCCCCATCCGGTGCCTGCTGCATCGCCTCCATGAGGCTGCTGATGAAGAAGTTGTTCTGCAGCGCTGAGACGCCCTGCTCCGGGAGGATGGACGTCTGCCGACACACCGGACATGACAGCGTCAGGCTCTGGGCAGGGATGTAGTTCTGGAGGCATCTGGCCAGGGAGGAGGGGGAGTCAAAGGAAGGAGGGGTGGGCAAAATCAGTGCACCCCTCCTCACGACTTGCAGGGATGCCAGTTCTTCTCACAGATGTACACTTCATTCTGAAATCTCTCTGGTTGGCACACACGTCTTGTCCTGCCAACAGGTGTAAAAGGCCTCACCTTTCACAACTGAGTAAAACACATCCCTGATCCCTCTCAGAAGAGCAGACGGATCTGCATTCCTCACACTGTGTACAAACACAGACTCACCTTTCACAGGTGTTTACAAACCGTTCTCATAGAAAATTGTGCATCTAGCCCCTCCCTCCATTAACTCATTAAACATTTACCGGCTGCCTATTCTTGCCAAATCTGTGCCAAGCTCTGGCAATAAACAGATAAACCACAATGCCCATCTCTAAAGTATTTCCAAGTCAACAGAGAAAAAAAGTCACAGAAAGAGTTTATAGAAGTAAAATAATATAATGATAAGGGCATGGGTCTGGAGTTAGGCTGCTGGGTTCAATTCCGAGATCAGTCATCGATGTGACCCCTGATAAGTTACATAACTTTTATGAGCCAAGGATCCTTCCTTTGTAAAATGGAGACAGCACAGACTTCGCAGGGTGTTGGAGGGAGGGTTAAATGTGAAGTGCTCACATGCCAACTCACAGCACTATATATTGTAGGGTATTAGTATTATTTATTAAAAACAAGGAATACTTTTCATGCAATGATAAGGAAATGTGTAGAAAGGGCATCTGGCCCCCCGGGGAGGGGTGCGCGGGTGGTGGAGAGAAAAGCCAGAAAAGGCTTCAGAGGATGTAAGCTAAATCTTCCTGGATAAATCATTGTTAGCCTAACCAAAGAAAAGTGCAGGGAGAAGAGGAAGGGTGTTCCAGACACAGCATCGTGTAAGTAGGAAGCAGTCTGAGGTGGCTGGAGATCAAGTCCAAGGAAAGAAAGGGTAAAAGAAGTCTGGAGAGAGAGACAGGGGCCAGTCATGGAAGGTCACATGGGCCACACTAGAAGTTTAGAAATTATCCCAGGAGCACCTGGGTGGTTCAGTCAGTTAAGCATCTGCCTTCAGCTCAGGTCATGATCCCAGCGTCTGGGATACTGGGATCGAGCCCTGCTTTGGGCTCCTCTTTGGGCCCTCTCCCTCTGCCTCTGCCCCTTCCCCCACTCATGCACGTGCTCTCTCTAATAAATAAAATCTTTTAAAAAAAGAAAAGAAAAGAAAAAGAAATTATCCCAATAGCAAGAGGGAACACCAGGAGCATGGTACAGCCAGGTTTACATTTTATCCTCTTCATTGCCTCTGTGTGAAGGATGAATTTGAACGTGATGAGGTGGCAGACAGCAGCATCATCATCGTCATCCAGTCACTGTTTATTAAGTACTATGCGCCAGGCGCTGTGCTTTGCACTTTATGTTTATGTTAATGGACTCAAAAAGGGAAAGTCATCCAAGGTAACAAAGCCAGCGAGCACTGGAGCCTGGATTCAAATCCAAGGCAAAACATGAGCTTAGCCAAGATACTCTTGCAATAGTCTTGTAAGAGATCTTGCAGTAGATGAGAAAAACCCGGAATTAGGCAGTAGCAGTGTAGACTATGAGCTGGAACAAATTTGAGAAGTATTTAAGAAGTACAGCAGTGGGAGGTGTTAGGTCTGAGTGGATATGGGGAGTGAGAGATGAGTCTTGGTTGACTCCCAGATTCCTAGCTTAGATGACTGAGTGGATGGTGGTGACAGTCACTAGGATGAGAAACACAGAAAGAGGAGTGGTTTATAAAGGCGTTCAGCTTTGATCTGGCTGAGTTTACTGGAACAGTCGGACATCCAGGTAGTGGGGCACAGGAGACAGCTGGGGAAAAGGCAGAGAGAGATGGGATGCCGTCGACATCGAGGTAGCCTCTATAGCCATGGGAGAGGATGAGATGAGCCCAAAAGGTATATTCAGTGACAAGAGCAGAACAGCAAATACTGAATGAGAACAAAGAGGAACCAGCGGAGGGGTAGGAGGAGAGACACTGACAAGGCAGTGAAGTGGGTAGTGCACTTCCAGAAGGAGGGAAGGAGCAGTGATCAGTGTCAAAAGTGGCTGAGGAGTCAGGGGAGGTAAGGCCTGAAAAAGGCCCCCTGAATTTGGCCAGTGTGAGAGTGCTTTCATCTATAAGGAAAATGAGGGGAGGGGGGAGTGCCAGGGAAAGGAAATGTGGGGAGGGTGGGAGTTTGAGAAAGAAGGTGCTTGAGGGACTGCATGGCAGCTAGCTGGGGGACAAAGGGACAAAGAAGAGTTCTTATCTGTTTGTAATGGGAGCCTTGAGCATATTTATGAGTTGCAGAGCCAGGAGAGAAGGAGATGTAGAAGAGACAAGACAAAGCATGGACAGGTCTCTGGGAGGGGGTAATGGCTCTGGGTGGCCTGAGCAGGAGGAGTGGACCCCATTCTCTGAGTGGGGGAAAGGGGAAAGAGAGAGTGCAGGGGTGAAGTTAGAGAGGATGCCTCACTTGCCTCAGGCAAGATCAGCTGCTGAGAGTGAAGGAGGGGTTCAGGAGACTGGTGAGGGCTGGGATTAGTCACTGAAGGGAGGAGGAGAGGAAGCTTTCTAGAAACACAGCCCCAGGCTGTGTTTGGAGACCATGAATCTGTGGAGGGAAGATCTGCATGGTGCACACTTTCCCATGTCCCCAGTCTCTTCTCTTAATGTTCTCTATACCTCTGGATCTGCATTAATTAATTTTTATTTATTTAATAAACACTATGTGCCAGGCACAATTCTAAGTGCTTCACAAATATTAACTTGTGACCTAGTTTTCCCAGCAGTTGTCTCAAGTAGAGAGTGGTTTTGTCTCATACTCCACATTCCTTAGGGCCAGAAGGTGGGGTTGAGTCCTCCCCACCCGCCCTACAGCTGGAACATTTCTATTCTCCAGCTCCTTGGAAGTTCATGCCTTCTGTCGATACCACCCTCCTGTGATTATCTCCACTTGCTATCATGGCTGCTTCCCCAATGGCTAAGTCTTTCTTCCAGCTCACTCTCTCCTGTTCCTGCTGCCCCCCTCCCCCCATATACACACACTCCTGCCATCACTCTCAGGGGCTCTGACATCCACGAGGTGACCCATCCAGCATCAGGATCTCAATTCCTTGACCTCCTCACACCCAGTGATCTCTTCCTCCATTTCACCTCTGCTGTCCCCTCTCATGCTCCCCCTACTTCCCATTTCTCATCGCCAGTCACTGCATCAACCCTGAAATCTGAATTTCAGCCATTAAAATCTGTCCCCTGCAGCTCTCTGCCCAGTTCACTGAATCTGGGGTTTCCCCTTCAAAATTTCTGTGAACTCATCAAGACCTCATTCCTATGTGTTGAGCATACCTGGCTTACACTACCTTCCTAACTGGTTACCTCTTTCCATTCTTGCTCCTCTGTAATCCATTCTCCACACAACAGGCAGAGGGAGCTTTAAAACCTAATTTATGTCATGTTAATTCCCAGCCTAAAACAAAAACAAAAACAAAAAACCTCCTCCAATGGTTTCCCATTGCATTTAGAATAAAATCTAAACACTTTCCTAAAACCACCAAGTTCCTCCATGAACTGCCCTGGTGCTTTTGGACCTCACTTCATTCTCCTCATTCAGCCACACTCACCTTTTTTGATCTCCGAACATGCCCAGTCTACAGCTTTCTGAAGGCCTTGGCATGGGTTCTTCTCATTGCCTGGAACAATCTGCAAGTCTGCCTCCTCATCCTCAGGCCTCAGGTCAAATGTCACCTCCTCAGGGAAGCCTTCCCTGATGACTCTATGCAGAATAGCCCCTGACTCAACCACCCCCATTCAATCCTTGTTTATTTCCTACAAAGCACTTTAGCACAGGCTGCGACTGTTCGATTATTTGCTTGCTTACTGTCAGTCACCCCCTACTAGAGCATAAGCTCTTGGAGAGCAAGGACCAAGGGATAAATGAATGAGTAGCAGTGAACAGTGAAGGCCCTGCAGTCAAACCTGGATTCAGACCTCAGACCTCAGCTTACTGTGGAGCCTCAGAAACAGTTCTTAATTACTCGGTGACTCTGAGCCCTAGTTCACTCCCCTCTAAAATGGGGATAATACAGTATCTATTGTGAGGATTAAGTAATTCAACACACGTATATCACGTAGCCAGTCCCTGGCAAATAGTAAGCAATCGATACATTGTAGCTACTAGTATCATAATTTCTCGGGCACTGATTTTCTCCAGGACTGCTCAGTGATCTGGGCGGAGGAGGAGGTGCAGAGATGTCCAATTACAGTTGTGATCCAGGGTTGAGCATCTGCTGCACGGGTTCAGAAAAGAACCAAGCCCTGAGGGAATTAATTGTGGCACCCAGTCAGATGTTCAGCCATTGGGGCTGGCATGGGTAGGAAAGGATGGAGCTGGAGGCTGGACATCTATACCTAGTCAAAGCTGGTAGAGTGGGAATGGAGTGATGGGAGCCAGGAATGGGATACCCAAGTTTATGACCACAGAAGTGATATTGGGTGATGGGTGATGGCAAGATCCAGGCATCTGGAGGTGGTATGGAGGACGTTTCCGGAGAAACAGTCGAGAACCAGAGGCCTAAGTGAGTAGTGAAGTCACCCAGGTTGATGAAAGAGCCTGCAATAGGCCAGAAGGCTGAGACTGTTTCCAGTTGATGACAGGGTGAGAGCAGCAGAGCTGACCTCTTAAAGAGCGATGGGATTGGAAAGGAAGCGTGTCCCCATGGCAGACACAGCTTTCTATGAAGGCGGAAGGCAGCGGGAAGGCTTGGGTGGACACAATGGTGAGAGGACCCAGGGACCAAAGGCTTCCTGGGGCCCTCCGGGTAAAGGCAACAGTCTCTAACAGGTCTACAAAGCCCCCTGTGGTGTGGGCCCCACCTGTCTCTCTAGCTTCACCCCCACCTCTGCTCCCGCCTCACCAGGCTTCCTCCAGGCCCCCTTACCTGACACATTCCCTCAGGCCACATGCCTTTCCCCATGTTCTTCCTTCTGCCTAGAATGCTCCTACCACTCCCTTCGCTAGTTAACTCACTAACTTCACTTAGTGCATCCTCCGGGTCGCCCCTCTGGGAAGCCATTCCCTCTCCAAACTGTTAACAGATCCTAGCTAAACTCTTGTCGCTTAGCACTTTATTTGCAGCCTTATGAAGGGGGTAATATTTTTCTGTAGTCTGGCTATATGATCATTTGATTACTATCTTTCTCCTTTAACTACACTGAAAGCTCTTTAAGAGCAAGTATTAGATCTGTCTGCTTATCATACCCCATGCCTGGGATAGTCTGGCACATAGTAGATGCTCAATAAATGAGTATTTGCTGAATGAATAAATAATGGATAAAAGCCTAAAGGCTGGAAGTGGTTGCCTTTCACTCAGTGCCTCAGGACAACCATGAAGACAAGCAGGGAAGGACAGACCTTCAACCATCCTCCCACTGGTGACAAATTCTTCTGGTGCCACCACTCGTGGAGAGTCCCAGTTTTGTCTGATGTCTCTGGCAGTGTTGAAAGCTGCCTTGAGGTTTGGGAAGGGGCAGGGACCATGACCCAGTGTTAGCAGCCTCCGGTCCTCTCACACATTCTTGCACCGAAACCTCATCGCCTGCAGGTTGGGGTACATCTGCTGCCCTCTGTGTGTCTACATTTCCCTCCCCTCCTACAGGTTTACACATGCCACCCCCGTCTCCGGGGGGCCTGCAAGCTCCTCATCCCTCCCTGGTACACACACACCCTCACCTCTCACAAAAGGTATGCAGGCAAGGCAGAACCTTGGGGCACCGGTACCGATCCAGGCAGATGCTGCACACCAGGAACTGCTTGTCCATCGGCTGGACCTCTGGGCCAGGGCTGTCCTCCCTCTTCGCCATAGTGCCCACAGATGGTTCCCGCCACTCACACCAGCCTGTGTACAGAGAGATGGTCAGCCCCAGGGAAGCCCACACTCCCTCTCCCTACCTGAGCCCCACCAATCAAATCCCCTGCAGAGAACTAACCCCATTTCTTCCCTGCCAGAGGCAGGACGGGCAGTGACCGGGGCGGGAACAGGGTGAAGTTAGGTGGGCTGAGAGACCTCTGAGCATGGTGCTCTGGTTAACCACAGACTTAGGGTTAGACTGGGTTTCAAGCCTAGCTCAGCCTCTTACCAAGTATGTGACCTCAGACAATTCATATGACCTCTCTGAGCCTCGGTTTCCTAATTTGCAATTATGGGAATAATCCGTACCTTGAATGGTTGTTTTAAGAATGTGAGATAGTGCATGTTCAGTGCACAGTACAGGGATGCCCACTTTCAGTGAAACACCCATCCTTCACTTCCTCTGCCTTCCCCAAATCCTCCTCCAGGCAACCCTCTTCATGGAGGGTCTCTCCTGACTACCTGCGGCTCTTCTACCTATGCTCCGATCCACCTCTCAGCACACCTGTCTGCGATCATACTCAATCAGTATCCACATCCAGTCAGTATCAGGTCTGGTGGAGCCTGCCTCCCAAATATCTTCTCCCCTTTTCTCCAAGCACACAGCTACTGCCCTCGGTTCAGGTTGCCACCAAGTCTCTCCTGTGATATAGCAGCAGCCTCCTAATTGGTATCTTTGTCTCCTCCCTTGTGCCTCTCATCCATCACCCTCACAGCTAGACTGACGCTCCTAAAACAGAGGTTCCATCTTGTCACCTACTCCCCATTAAAATCCTTCAATGGTTCTCCACTGTCCAGAGGACAAAGTCAAAACTCCTTAGCGTGGCCAACAAGGCTTAGCTTTGTCTGGCCCATACCTCCCTCTACTACCTCATGTCCCATGATTCTATGATCAGTCACATTGGTTTCTTTTCAGTTCCTGGAAAACTTCTTGTTCTCTTTTACTTCTGGGCAGTCACACATTCTGTTCTCTTTGTCTGAGATCCTCTTCCAAGTCCCCCTTTGCCTGGCTGGCTCCCACTTATCTTTCAGGTCTCCACATAAATGTCACTTTCTCCAGAAGGCCCTCCCTGATTTCCTGAAGTCTGGGTTAGGTATTCCACCTTTAGGTCCCTCCATGCCCTGTATTTCCTCCATTCTAGCCTGGATATGCTATACTGTAATTTTCTTCTCTGCTTCCTCCACTGCATGCAGAGTTCTTAAAGGCAGGCATTATATCTTTTTTTTTTTTTTTTATTCCTAACACTTAGCACAGAGCCTGACATAAGGCTTGATCTATATTTATTGAATTAATTCAGTAATTCAACAAATATTTATTAAGTGCCTACTTTGCAGAGGCACTGGGGATAGAGTGATAAACAAAACAGATCTGGTCACTGTCCTTGTGGTGGGGAGTGGTGACATAAATTTTATTTTATTGTTTATTTATTTTTTTAAAGATTTAGTTATCTTAGAGAAAGCGTGTGCACCAGCAGGAGGGGCAGAGGGAGAGGGAGAGAGAGAATCCCAAGCAGACTCCATTCTGAATGAGGAGCCAGATGTGGGGCTCGATCCCACAACCATGAGATCACAACCTGAGCTGAAACCAAGTGTCAGACACTTAACTGACTGTGCCACCCAGGTGCCCTGACATATATATTTAAAATAAATAGACAAATATATACTTACAAATTGTGCGGGAGGAGAATGCTATAAAGAAGAAAGGATCCTATAAGAAAGAACACTTTTTTGTTTGGGTGATCAGAGAGGGTCTCTCCAAACAGGCAACTTTTAAGCTGAGCTCTGAAGAATGGAAGGAAAATGGTAGGGATGAGGGTGGGGGCATCAAAGAGTGAGGGATGGAAGGGCACCTGGGTGGCTCAGTCGTTAAGTGTCTGCCTTCGGCTCAGGTCATGATCCCAGAGTCCTGGGATCAAGCCCCACATTGGGCTCCCTACTCTGCAGGGACCCTGCTTCTCCCTCTCCCACCCCCCTGCTTGTGTTCCCTCTCTCGCTGTGTCTCTCTCTGTCAAATAAATAAAATATTTAAAAAAAAAACAAAAAACAGTGAGGGATGGAAATCATTCTGGGCTGAAGGAACAGCAGGAAGGAAAGTTCTTAGGCAGAAGGCTCACTGAGAACCTGAAAGGACCATGTGGTCAGTGCAAAGTGAATAAAAGGCAAAAGATGAGTCTGGGAAGGTAGGATGAAATGAGATCACCAAGAACCTTGATGTTAAGAATTGGCATTTTGGGCGCCTGGGTGGCTCAGTTGGTTAAGCGACTGCCTTCAGCTCAGGTCATGATCCCAGGGTCCTGGGATCGAGTCCCGCATCTGGCTCCCTGCTCGGCGGGAGGCCTGCTTCTCCCTCTCCCACTCCCCCTGCTTGTGTTCCCTCTCTCGCTGTGTCTCTCTCTGTCAAATAAATAAATAAAATCTTTAAAAAAAAAAAAGAATTGGCATTTTATCCTAATTGGGGGTGGGGAGAAAGGATGGTGTAATTTACAAAAAAATAAAAATAAATTAAAAAGCTCTTCTGATAGCTATGGGGATTGAGGAGGAACCAGAGTGGAGGCAGGGAGACCAGTTAGGAAGCTACTTCAGTTCTTCCCGTCAGATGATGTTGGGTATTAGCAGAGATATAGGCAAAAAGGTAGACTGATTGGAGAAATACTCAAGAGGCTGAATCAAAAAGACATCACAATGGATTGGGTGTGAGAGGGAAAAGGGAATGCCGATAATGACTCCCAGGTTCCTCACTTGAGGACATGTGGACCATGACAGAGACAGTGAAAGCTGAGGAACTGATGTGGGGCATTCCGTTTTCGGCAAGGGAAGTTTGAGGCACTGTAGGATATCCAGGTGGAGATTCAAGTAAGGAATAGAATATAAGCTGGGTAGAATAGAATCTGGCTGGTTACCGATTTGGAAGCACTGGTCTATTAATGGCACTTAAAGCACTGAGACTGGATGAGTCCCCCTAGGGACAGAGAGTGCAGAGTGAAGGAGAACCCAAACGGGTGGAAGAAAACCAAGAGACCGTGGAACCAAATAGACCTAAGGAAGAGAGTGATTCAAGAAGGAAGGGCTGATGAAGGCAGATGAAGACTGGAATGCCCACCAGGTTTGGCAGTGGGGGCACAGCCGGGGCAGCAGCGGGGCGAGAGTGGCTGAGTGATAAACGGACGTGAAGACGTTCACAATAGTAGCTGTAGACAGTTCGTGAGAGAAATGAGGCCATGAAGGGAGGCAGAAAGACAGCTGGACTACTTCAAAACAGGCAGTGGCTAAAATCAGGTAACCACTATCTGTGCCCAGCTAGATGTGTCACAGGTTCTGTAAAGAGAATGAATGAATGAATGAATGAATGAACGAAGGCATGCACGCACGCACTCCATGGGGGCCAGTCCAGAACCCTCTCTAGGTTTGGGCTGAACTGCATGTGTCTTATGTTTGTGTAAGAGTGGGCATGAGTAGGAATAGGATAGGAAGGGCATCCCTGAGAGCATCCTCTCCTGATTCGGGCACTGGGATTCTGAGATTCTCTCTCTAGAGAAACCTAACACCAGGACACCATAGCAGGAGGAGGACAGACTGAGGGCTGGTGGAAGGAACAGGAGGTGGGAGCCAAGCTGAAGCTTCTGTCTGGTGAAGGGGAGGGCTTGGAAGGAAGAGTAGGAGTGGTCTATACTGGGCCCTGCTGGGGCCGCTGGATATCAGGCTCCGCCTCTCCAAGCCCAAGGGGCTCTCCCAGCATGTCACACAGGGGCGGGGACTGGGCTACGTCCAAGGACGGACAGCTCCTCCCTCCCTTCCCCTTCCTGCTTCAGTTCCCCACCCAGACTTGCTGGGCATGTAACCGCTGGGGCCAACCCCCAGCCTGAATCACTAAGATTCCCTTCTCCTCTTGGGCTCCTACTCCCACCTCTCCCATCCCACCGTGTCCTAGAGATCTGCCTCCAAGGTCCTTCCTATAGGTGATGGTTTAGGTGGACTGATTTTCACAGCAGAAATTTGGAGGATCTTGAACTCAGAGCTGAGAGTTCACCTCCTTCCTCAGGATGCCCACTGCCATCCCCACATCCCTTATCCCACCCATCTTTTATGGCTCAGTTCTAAAAGCAACTCATTTCCTCATGCTGCATTCACTCAACACCTCTGCTCGGACTGGGAATACAAAGATAAACAGTCATAGTGCGGTCCTCATGGTTCCACAGTCTAATAAATAGATTACTGCAATGCAACACGGAAGGCTCTGTGGGGAAGCACGAGTTGCTACAGAGCACAGAGGTCATCTAACCTAGAGCTGGGGCAGGGGAAGGGGTTACTGAAGATTGGGGGTCAAGAGAGTTCTCCTGAAGAAAGTGCCATTCACACTGAGAGTTACAGAGCATGGTACCTTCTGCACCAGGAGACTGAATCACACACTGTGACAGAGGAGGGCTAAGAAATGAAATGGAGTGATGGGCAGGAGCTAGATCACACAATGCTTTGTTGGCCTTATTAAGGAGTTTAGGCTTTACTCTTCTCTGCTTGGGGATTAAGGCTTTATCCAAAGAGCATGGGAAACCTTGGGATGGGGTGTGGGAGGGTAGGGGAGTGGAGGCAGGTGGGTAGAAAGGGTTTAAGTATAATCTAATAGAGCCCCAAGAGTCACTTTTTGACAGCTGTGTGAAAAACAGTTTAGAAGGGTCACCAGGGGGAAGGTGAGACTACATGATATTCCACAGGAGGGGTGATGGTGGCCTTGACTAGGGGAGTAGCAAAGGGGAGGTAGAGAGAAGTAGATTTCATAGGGAAGAATCAACAGAACTTGATGACTGTTTGGTGGAATGTCAAGAGTAGACAGAGAAGAAAGAATTGGAGATGATCCCTTGTTTTCTGGCTTGGAAACTCTGGAAGAGGAGCAGCTGGATGAAACGATGAAAAGTTTGGTGTTTTCCTAAGACAAATCTGAGGTGGCTATGGGACATGTGAATGGAGAGGTCTGGCTGGCAGTGGGAAAGACAGGCCGGAGCCTCGGAAAGTGGTCGGCCTGGAGGCAGTGATTTGGGAGTCATTGGTGTAGAGATGGTGCCTGAAGCCATGGAATTGGCTGACATCACTCAGACAGAGTGTAAGGAGAGAAAGGAGAGCCTGTGACTGTGCCCCGAGGAACCTCAACATTTAAGGGATAGGCCAGGAAACAAAGCTTGCTTGTAAAGAAATTGAAAAGGTGTGGCGAGAGGCAGGAGAAACCAGGAAGGTGAGACATCGTGAAGACCAAGGGAGAAGAAGCTTCATGAATAAGGGAACAACCTTCATTGTGAAATGCGGCAGGGAGGCCCTAGGATCTAAAGCCGAAAAGAAGCTGTCATTAGCTTTAGGGAGTATGGTTTCCAGAGGCTGGAAGAGAGGAAGCCAGATCCAGAGGGCTGAGAAGGAAGTTGATTGTGAGCAAATGAAGAAAGCCAGTGCTGACTCCACTAGATCCTTGGCATCTACAAAGGATATATTTCAAGGCTTTTCAGTTTCTCCAAATTCTCAAACAGCTTCCAATTTCCCCCACGACTTCCTTCTACAACCTCAGAGTCCCAGGACACATGATTTACACAGCTGTGGCTAGAGGTAGGTGACCAAGGCATTGTTAAAAAATGATGCAAGAGGCCAGCTCACTTGCTTCTTAAAATGACTCACTCCTGTACACTAACCCCCAAGTGCATTTGATCATTTGAGACCTCAGCAAAATGACAATGACTGCAGGTTACAGTTTTGGGGGGTTTCTCTGGAACAGAAAAATCCCTGGAGGAGGTAAAGTCCTGAAAGCCCAGGAATCCTTTCAGTAAGATTGACAGGGAAGGAAAGTGATGAAATTCACAGGGCCATCTCCCCCACCACTGCCAGACTGAGCAGGTGGATGAAGCATCCAATCAGCTGATCAACCTAGCAAACAATCTGACTGCCCCAGGCATACTCTGGACCAGGTTCTTAACCTGGGAACTGGAGACACAAAGCTGAAACTGATGCACTCCCTGACCCTCACAAGTTCTCAGACTAGTGTGGGAAAGAGACATGGAAATACATAACTATAATGTGCTAAGTGTCATGATACTGACATATTCAAACTGTTGTGCCCGAAACAAGGAGGAAGTCTCTAACTCTGAAGGTGGTGGAGGAGAATAAAGAAGGCTTCCAGAGGAAGGGATAGATGAGCTGAGTCTTGCAGGAGCTTGATAGGTACATTGGGAAAACAGTGCGTAAAGGAAAAGAAGCATGAAAAATTAAGAAACATGGACCAGTTGGGGCAAGAGAGCAAGACTCAAAAGGGCAGAGGTTGTACTAGATGTTTTCATGATCCGCTTGATATGGATTCTCCACCTGCCTCTCTGGCTGTGCCTTCACTGCCCATTCCTTAAACGTCTAACTCCCCAGGGCTTTATACTCTGCAGGCTTTCATACTCTGCCTGGGAAATCTCATCATCTCCCATGGTTTCAGTTACCATCCACTCAACTCCCAAAGCCTTATCTCCTGTGCAGAAAACTTTCTGGAACACCAGGCCCATATATCCAACCATATCTTGGACATCTCTACATGGATGATGCATAGAGATTAGCCTAAAACTGAATTCATTTTCCCTTAACCTACTCTTCCTGCTGGTGTTTCTCATCTCAATAAAAGGTACCACCATCCACCTGGCCACACGAGCCAGAACCCTGGGAATCTTCCCAATTCTTCCTGTTCTTTTACCTTTCAGATACTAGCTATGACTATATCCTTGATTCTGCCTCTAAAATGTAACCAAGTTAAAAGGAGCTAGTCTTGACTCTATCACTAATCTCACTAATGCAAGTAAGACTCTGGGCAAGTTTCTACTCCATCCTCTTACTTGTAAATTGGGATTGGAGGGGGGTCTTTTTGTTCCCCAAATCTGTGATTCCCAAAGTTCTCTTTCCAGCCAAAGGTCCCTACAGACTGTATTATGTGCCATGATTAAATCCCACCTTGAGGATTTGATTGCTGGTTTCCACAGTAAGGCTAGGTGTGTTAGAGGGTATTTGCAGTTGCCTCCACCTCCCCTCCAAAATAAATGTTTGCTAAGTTTAGGGCACCCATGACACTCCCTCTGGGCACCCTCTACTCTAACCATATGGTTTTGCTCTGTTTTTCTGAACACGGGCTGTACTATCACAACTATGGGCCTTTGCTCAAGCTTTTCTCTCAGCAAGAATGCCATTGTCCCCTAAGTGGCTGAGGCAGCACCTGGCACACAGAGGGTGCTCAGTATATGCTGGTGACAGGAGGGCCATGTTTAAATCACTGCAGTTCCCTCTCACCAGACAGAGAGGCAAAAGCACAGGCAATAACAAGACAAGTAAACAAAGTTCCAAGGAAAAAGACCTCTACTTAACATAAAAAAGCTCTTCCAAAGCATAAGGTAGTAAGTGCTCTGTCACTGGAGGCATGCAAACCAAGAGAGGCAGGGCACCTGTCAGGCCTGCAGCTCTGATTCCAATTTTGCAGCAAATCAGAGCCCTACTTAGGGGATGAATGGGCATTGGTGAGCTGGACAGACAAACAGGGAAAGACCTGTGAAAAAGACCTCTGCACCCACTTCAACCTCCCAGATCTCATCTTCCTACTGGGGCTAGTCCTGGGTTTATGCTGTCCACATCAGAGACCCCCACACCAGGAAAAAGCCCAGGACCTGCCTTCAGTCAGACCGACCTCCCTGGGGTGCAGCCTGCCCTTCCAACCTGCAACCATCTGTCCCTGCAGGTTTGCAGCCCAGGATCTGAAGCCAAGTCCAGAAGGGAGGAGGCTAGAACCAGGGAGGGGCCTGGGGTCTTCCACACAGGGCCCAGGCTGAAGGAGAATCAGAGGGGTCCTTTCCTACAACAAGCAGCCTCCGGATGAGGCTCCCTGTCAAGGGAGCAGGACTGGAGGAGGAAAAGAGTGTCCTCCACCCTGGCTGGTGGGTTTCTGGGTGCCTTAAGAGGATGGAGGGGGGAGCCAGGGGTGGAAGTGTCTGCATCAGGGAGAAAGGAACCCTTCAGACAAGCTGGGCCACAAGATTCCGGAGTCCCATTCAGCAACCCCACCCGCCACACCACCACCACCCTCGGCCGCAGCGTTCGACACCCTCCGCCTACATACACAAGCTCCCAAACCCCGCGCTCCTCCAAGGAACCATCACCCATCCACCCGCGCCTCCCCCCTCAAACATGGACCTCACGTGAGCAGCCACAGCCCGAAGAATCCCCCCACTGCTCTCAGGGACACGGACACGCCTCACGTGGACAGAGACAGACACAGCTTTTGAAAAGCAGCTGTGCCCCCACCCACAGACACTCGGACAGACACACCGCTGTTCGGACTTGGACCCGCAGCCGGGCAGACAGGGACACAAATGCACCCTGGGGGCCGCCCGTCGCACTCACCGCGGCGGAGCAGGATGGGAGCACCAAGGCCCAGACTGCGGCCACTCGGAGCGGCCCGCGGCGCTGCCCCCGCTGCCAGCGCCCGTCCGCCCGGCCCTGCCCGCGGCGCCGCCCCACGTCCCGCGCCTCCGCCTGTCCCCGCGCCGGCGCCGCTGCCGGACCCGCCGCACAGGCCGGAGGGAGGGGCCGGGGCGGGGCTGCGGACCAGCCGCGGGAGGGGGCGGCTCGGGTGCTGAAGACCCACCCACGCCCCGCCCACCGCCGCGGAGGCCCCGCCCGCCTCTACCCTACCCGCCCTGCTCTCCCAACTCCCTGGAGGCTCCTGCGGGAGCTGCCTCCGCCGGCCGGCCCGCCGGGCAGCCGCGTGAACCGGATCCCGGGTCCCCGATCCCTGCCAGCGGCTTCTGGCTCCCGACCGCTCTGGGGCAGGGCGGCGTAGTAGGTCTCTGGGACTGGGCTGAGGCTCCGTCCAGAAAACGCAGCTGGGCAGCAGAGATTTCGGACTCTGGGAGCCGGTCCGGGCCCTCCAGGAGGTGCACTTCCCGTCTTTCTTGGGGGCACCTTCGGAATATGCTAGTGTGCTCTCTACTGAGGAGGGGGACACGGATATAGTCTGTACCTCGGCACGGATCCCTGGGCGGCGTAAGGCCCCCCAGGTGGAAGGGCAGTACCCAGAGCGCTAGGAGAAGGGGCGGACGGGGTGAAAGGTTGGGGGACTGGATTTGGCTGTGTGCCTGGCCCTCCCTCAGGAGCCCCCTCGCGAGGAGATTACGGTTCGGACCATCCAGTGATTCCCTTCCACACTCCAAAAACCAGAGCAATTCAGAATCATTGCATTGTGGAAAAGAAGCCCCAGTGGAAAATAATAAAAACTATAATAAAGTTAACAGGGACCGAGTGCTTATTATGTGCCAGAAACATAACGAATCACTTTACATATAGTGTCTCCTTTAATACTCATAATCGTAATAGGCATCTTCTCTTATTAGCTGTGTTTTACAGGGGAAGAAACTGAGGGCCCTTGGCTCAGTTTGAGCTCTGCTTTAGAGCCTGCCTCCAGTCACCCGGAGATTCAGTACCGTATTTCATGTTGGAAGTCCCCAATGGCCACAAAGTGGGGCTTTGTATGTGAAGCACCCAACCTAATAATCAAGTCCCAGTCAGACGGCTGCAGGCTGAGTCAACCCCAGAAAGGCTGCCTGGGAGCTGCAGTATCTGTGGCAAAGAACAAAATCAGGCTGCATGGATCTCAGTGCTGTGAGAACCTGCTGACTGGGTTGTCTTCTTCCTTCAGCCCTCCAGAGAGGTAGTGGACAATGTTGAAAAATTCTGGGGCTCTCCTGGGTCAAGGAGCACAGAAGTGATGGTACCTGGGCACTGACTGAATCAAAGTGCCATTGGGGAGATTTCTTGCCTCAAACAAGCTTGATATGGGCTCAACACCTGGGTGCACCCTCAACCTCTCATCCGCGTGTTGACTTCTGGCACCCAGCACAGGTACTCCAATGCTTGTGAATGAGCCTCAGGATTCATGCTTGCTTTTGGGTTTGGGGCCAGGGTTACTAGACTACCCGGTGTGAGGGGGCTTGGGTCTGTATAACACTATTTCAAGCCTCATGAGGACTACTTTCCTCAACTTTAGATTTCCCCCATGTCATCAAACTCGTGCTTGAAAAAGCTTGACAGCTCCCTTTCTCCTAAGGACAAAAGTCCTTAATCATAAGCCTGAACAGGCCCAGTGTGACCCCTCACTGCCTCACCTCTGTAGTCCTTCTCTAGCCACTCCCCTTCCACTTTTCATTCCAAACTGAATTCCTCCCAAGTCCTATCAGGGCCTTCACATATGCTGGCCTCTTTGCTTAGGTTGCTCTTCTATTCTTTGCCTGACTGTGTCTACTTGCTGTTCAGGTCTTAGTTTTCAAGGTGATAGCCCATCTCCACTCCAGTCTTGGCTAGACGCCCCTCCTCTGCACTCCCACAGCTCCCTGAACTTCTGTATCCTAGTACTCATCACTGCATTGTAGTTGCTTGGTTACATGTCTCTATCCCCCACTAGGCCTTAAGCAATGCGGGAAGGGACTGTGTTTTATTCACTGATGTATCCCCAGGGTCTAGAGCAGTGCCTGGCAAATAAAAGCACTCAGTAAATATTTGCTCTATGAACGAATGGCTGATGAAGGTCAGTGGGCCCAACCCCCTCTAGGCCCTGTGCTCTTAAGACCATAGCTATCTCAGTGCTGGTCTGAAGAGCAAATAAAACTTTGGCTCCAGCTGGGGCTGGGGGAGGAGTAGGCTCTCAGACTGTTCCTGAAACCTGTGACTTCCAGCTATCTGGCCTCTGCTCTTCTGGCTTGACAGGATTTTGGTGTATTAGACTGAGCATTTCTCCACCCAGCCCACCCTCCTAGAGTCCCCCCACAAATTGACCTCACTGGGCCTGCTTTTATGAAAGGTTTATTCCTAGTGCTAGGTCCCAATCTTCCAGGGCTCTAAGCACAATTAAACTGGGTGGGTAGGTGAGGGGAAGCCCATTCAGATGCAGGGCCAGAAATGGGGCTCCCCATTATCCCCACCCCTTTGGTCCCAGTCCCCTTCTCTGCAATGGGGGACGCATAGAGGAGGGACAAAGGGTACTGGAGGCAACATCATGGCCCAGGGGAGCCCAAGAAGAGCTGCCATTGGCTGACAGGGCCTTTTGAGGCTCTGCCATTGGTCAGGGGGCACACCCCAGGATCTGGGGACAGGCCTGAGGAGTAATGCCATTGGCCAGGGAGTGGTTCTGTCATAGCCTTTGGCTGTGGAGTGGAAGGAAAAGATCTGGGAATGAAGCCCAGTGGCCAGGAAGATAAAGGACAGGACAGCAGCTGCTAGGCCTGCAAGCCCCCACCCTACCCACAGCAGTGTGGGCAAAACTGGTGTCAGGCCCCAGCCAGGGAAAGGGAACCCAAGCCAGAGGGCAGGTGGCAAGGGATGTCCCATGTCCAATCTCCCCCACCCTGGGACTGCCTCTCCCAATGTCCTTCTTGATAGCCAGGTTTGGTTAGGAGCAGCTCACTGCTCCTCTAGCCAGGAGGGCTTCTCAGCTCCTGGAGGCCGCAGCTTGATGTTGAACTGCTGCAGGGTCTGCTCCAGCTGTTTCTGGTTCCCAGCAAAGTAGGCGGACACGGCATTGTGGAAGAGCAGCAGCTGCTTGTGCATCACCTTGATCTGGGGGTCCAGCAGGGTCAGCTGAGACTGGACTCAGATGCCCTTCTTGAGCCTGAGCCCAGACCAGGGGTACATGGATTCTGCTCTGATGGTGCTTTTAGGGTGGGGGCTGACCTCCACTAAGGGAGTCAAAGGATAAGGGTCAGTCTGATGGGAGAAACCTGACTTGATTTGCTGGGCTTGGGGTTCTGGTACCCCAGCTCAGGGGATGATTTTTCCCAGTTATGTTCCTGGGATCAGCAGCCAAATCCTCCAATAGAAAAGGGCCAGGGATTGGAGGGTGGGTGACTAGGAAGGTCCAGGGGGTGAAGGGGCTGGGGGAAGATCCCACCCCTTAGCCAGGCTGCATTTCCCCCATCCAGTACTGGGGAGGGTCTCAGGGATAGAAGGTCAGTGTTACAGATGGGAAGTTGGGCTGGGATTAAAGGGGTGGGGTTGGCACCTTGTTTTCTTCCAGGAACTTGAGCTTGATGGCCACATCTCCCCGCAGCTTCTCATATTTGTCCCGATGGGCCTGGAAAGTTGCCTGGGCACTCTCGAGTCGACCACGCGTCCCTGCATCCCGGGGGCCTAGGCTCAGCTCCTCTAAGTCTGTTCGGTAGGCATCATATTCCAGCCTGGGGAAGGGGTGATACAGGCTGGTCTCCACCCCAGTGTCCTCCACACATACTCTCCTTTCCTTCCTCAGTTCTTATGACCCCAAAGCTCAAACTTCCACCCATGCCAGCCAACTCCCAGAACTCTAGGCCCTGCTGGTGCCCACACCTGGCAGCCTCATACTGTTTGACAGTCATGAGCGTGTCTTCCATGGTCTTGGTGACCAATGTGTTGATGCTAGAGACAAAGAAGTTCACAGCCCCTAGCAGTGTCTCTCCATTCTTGCACAGCAGCTTCTGTGTTTCTGCATTGTAGCCAAATTCCTCCTGAGGGCGGAAGGGAGGACAGGCCTTGAGCAACAGTTCCTACCTGACTAAAGCTATAGGGCCCTCATTCCCCTCCTTCCCAGGGAGGAAACAGCCATGGAAACTGGCAAAGGCTCTCTTAGCCAGAAAGTTAGTGGGGCCACCCCAGGGATGGCTGGGGTAGGAATGTGGGAGTGGGGTTCTCAGATAAGTTCACAGGACTAGAACAGGGAAAGCTAGTGCAGCAGGCAAGGGAGGGGCTCTGATTAGGCCGAGCACTGATGCAGAGAAGGGTTACTTGTGAGGCATCTAGTGTGCCGCCTCCCCCACCCCTCCAACTTCTGAACCTCTGTACAAACCCTTAGGCTGCCTCCACGAGTGAGTGCTGCTGGGGGTAGGGCTGGGCCTACCCTGGAGGGGTTCTCCCTCTGGGCTGCAGGAGGGAGGGAGGGAGGCTGAGGGCTGACTGCCTGGGAGGGCCCGGGCCCAGTCCCCCCACCCTCTTTGGCCTGACCAAGGCACCTGAAGCTCTGGGGACTTCTGGCTGAGGTCAGCAAAGGCGTCACCTAGTGCATGCTGGGTCTGCAGCAGGCTGTAGAGGTGGGCTGTCAGTGCCCGGCCCAGCTGCAGGACACTTTCATACTTGCGCTTCGTCTCACGCAGCAACTCAATCTGCAGCTCTAGCTCCAGGTCCACAGTCCGGGAGCCTCGGCCAAATCGCTCTGATAACAGCTGCTTTGTGCACTGATTGGGAAGTGGGGGAATAGGTCAGAGACCCTAGCACTCTGCCCCCCAAACAGGTATTGACCCTATCATCCCCACACTCCTAGTCTCAGCCATAGATGGGATAGTGGCATCTGGAAGATGGGGAAAAGGTACCCAGGGGAAGTTTGGGGGAAGGGAAAAGTGCTTAAATCCCACCTTATATGTGTTGATGCCCCATTTCTTGACAATGTCAAACTTCTCTCCAGCGATGCCCCGAGCCACCTCATCTCCAGGTCCAGCAGGAGTGGTACTGTGAGATGGATGGCGGCCAGACCCTAAAGAACCAAGTTCTCTGACACCAGCCTCTCTCAGATAGGACCAGACATCTCTGTAGCTCCACCCATACCTCCCACCCAGCATATGAAAATGACTTCCCTGAAGTAGCAGAAACTAGAGACAATGAGATTCTCCTACTCACTAGGAAGAACTCATACTTTGTGCCCTGAGACCCAAATCCCAATATATAACTGGCCTCCTTCTGAGGTGGTGATGGGGGCTGGAGTGGGGGGAGGGAGTTGCTGATGTACAGGGGCAGAGAAAATGGAAGAAAATATGCTGAGAATGGAATGGCAGATCAAGGATGGTGGGTGCTGATAACAGGAAACCTCACTGACATTCTCATGTGGAATCCTAGTCAGTGTGAGATTCAAGGATATTTGCTTCTCTAAACTTTAGAGTCTAAAGCAAAACTCTGAGAAGCTTCAGAGATCCAAATCAGTCTCAAGCTCCAGAGCAGGGAGAACTTCTTTGAAACAGAGTTCTTAATATGATTCGAGTGGTAGCAGCAGAGAAAGGACAAATGGTCACATCTCAGGGGCTAAATGGCAAGTGGGAGCAGTTGGACAACCCTGCTCATACTAGCAGAAGTTCCCAAGATCTCTAGACATAATTCAAGCTATCTTAGACATATCCTATACTCCCCAGAACCATTCCCCTCCCTCTCTCCACTCAAACTTCCTGTCCTGTTCTGATCATTCATACCTGTGGGGATGAGTCCATCACCAGAGCCCCCATAGCCACCAGACACAATGCTGGTTTCATTGAGGTTGGGTCCTGATACCATCACCTGCTGGAGGTCCTATAGGCCAGAGAAGAGGGGGGCTTCAGGAACATTGGGGCAGCTGAAGCATTTGGGGGGTGAGAACAAGCTTGGATTGAAGCATCACAGAGAGAGCACACAAGGGAAGTCTGCATAGAATCAGAATGAAGATTTGTAAAAAGATTGGAGGGAGTTAGACAAGTTAGGGGAAAACTAATGGAATGGGGTGAGAGCCCAGGGCTTTTGATTTAGGATTCCTAAATTGAAACAATATGGAGAAGAATCAAACAGAAGCACCTGCTCCAGCCCATCATCCTCAGGAAGCTGCCCAGCTTCACCGTTCCCATGGATGGGGATCTCCATTGTGGCTGCCTTCCCTAGGATCCCGTCCGTCATGGCTAGGGAAGGGACTGGAGTCAAAGTCTCCACCCCAGCGCCCTGCAAAGCCCAACACAGACAGTTCTGGAAACTGGCCAGTACTCCAGAAAGAAAGGTCTCCCCCACCATTTCAGAGATTTTGGGGGTTGTCCCAAGACTTGAGTATTCTGGGGTTGGGACACCACTCCTCTTCTCATGGATATGTATTTCTCCCCTCCAAGGTGCGTATCTTTCCACATGCACACCCAGGCCCCAGATGTCTTCTCATGAACCCCCAACCCCACCAGGATTCAGGTGATCATTCATGCATTCAATCATTCAACAGACATTGAATAAGTGCCTACTATGTGTCATGCATTATTTGAGGTCACAGCAGTGACCAAGAGAGATAAGGTCTGTGCTGGCTTGGAACTTATCCCCATGCAGCTGTTTCCCCCCATCAGATTAACCCCTTTCCAAGGCTCAGGAGCCTACTCCTCCCATTCAGGTATGCTCTCCATTGCTTGGCCTTTCACACTCCCTTAGTGTTTCTTCCCCTTTCCTTCAGGTGGTCTCCCCCTCCTCCATCCCATGCACCTTGGGCCCTCCCCCCCAGGCCTTAGTTGAATCAGTTGGTGTATGTTCTCGGCCTCTGGGAAAAGCCTCTTTTTCCCAGAACATAGTGATCCCTTCCAAAGTCAGTTATGTCCCCCAGGTGTGTCAGTCCCCGCCCCCCCCATACACCTGGGCATCAGGTGTGTCCTCATCCTTTCCCCAGGGCTCAGTGGCATCTTTCCCTCAGGGCAGTTTCGTGCGTTCAACTTCCCCTCGCCCAAGTATGTCCTTCTCACCTCGGGCCGGGCCGCTCTTCCCCTCAGGGCGCCAGGCCCGGGCCGCGCGGGGACCTCGGGCTCCAGTTCCCGTCGCGATCCTAGCAGCAGGTCAGGGACTCGGCGGAAGTGACGTCCCCTCCCGGGCAGAAGAAGCCGGCCACGTCGCAGATTCTAAGGGCGGAAATGACGTTTGCCGGGGGCCGGGCGATCCTTGAGCCAACCCCTCAGTCCCTGGGGAGCCAGGAGAGAGCACTTCCGGGGCGTTTCCAAGACGCTGTAGGGAAGTGACGTACTGTGCGCGGTGGCGCGATGGAGCCCCAGCAGCAGCAGCAGCAGCTGAGAAACGTGAGTGCTAAGTCGCTGCAGGGCTATAAGTTCAGCTAGCACCCTTGTCCATTTGGCTGGATATCCGAGGGCTGGGAACGTCGGGTTGTGGCGTGCGGTCCTGGGAAACCTCGAGCGACGCGGCCTCGAGGTGCCCCTGTATCGCTGAGTTCTTCGTCCCCTTTTCTCCTAGTTGCGGGACTTCCTTTTGGTCTACAATCGGATGACGGAACTCTGCTTCCAGCGCTGCGTGCCCAGCCTGCACCACCGAGCTCTGGATGCTGAGGAGGTTAGGTGGGGAACTCTGTAGGGAGGTTCTCCGTAGACTGTTCCCCACCCCGACTTCCCCTGCCTCTGGCCCTGGCCTTTCCACGACCCTCGCCCCTAGGCTAGGGATGGGAAGGAAGGAGACGGACCCGACAGGACACCTTTGGCCTCTGCTTCACCCTGTCTTCCTTCCAGGAAGCCTGTTTGCACAGCTGTGCTGGGAAGCTGATCCATTCCAACCACCGCCTCATGGCCGCTTATGTGCAGCTCATGCCTGCTCTGGTACAACGCCGCATCGCAGACTACGAGGCTGCCTCAGCTGGGCCAGGTGTTGCTGCTGAACAGTCCGGATCCTCACCATCAGGCAGCTAGCCCTCCCCAGCCCCAGGAAGGGAGGCACTGGATGGACCCTCAAATTGAAGGAGCCAGTGGACCTTGGGCTGGATGCAGCCTGTATATAGAGCGAGGGGTTTCCTGAGAGCTGGGTACTATTGCTCCTTTTCCTGGAGCCAATAAACCCGCTTTTACTCTCTTTGGTTTATGTTCTGGGCGGGGAAGCTTTGCCCATTGTATTGGCACCATCCTTTATTCTGTCAGTTAGTGCATATCTGTTGGCTTCAGCCCTGGCAGTGGAGAAATTGCCTTCTCTGTGTAGAAGGAAAACCTTAACATTCCCAGGCACCTGGTTAAAGCAAGGTCTGTGGGTACAGTTTTAATGTTAGTAACATCAACAGGAAGTTGATTCCTGCCCAGATGGCAGAGAAAAATGAGACCTCTTTCTAGCTGTCCTTCACTTAAATCTGTCTGACTTAAATGGCTCATTTGTGAGCCAGGTGTACATTGATTCATAACTCTTTTTTTTTTTTTTTTTCCATTCATAACTCTTTTTGTGGACTCTAAGGAATTCTGCTAGATGTAGGTAAAGGAGATAACCAAGGACAACAGATAAAGAAATCACAGACAGAAGAAAAAAAAAAAAGAAATAACGGACAAGGTATTTAGGCACTGCCTCCTGGGAAGTCAGTAGCCCCAGAACAGAGATGAAACCTCTAAGAATTTTGGGGTGTTCTGGAACTTCAACCATTTCCCAAGTTGTTACTTTCTTACTATTTTCTCTCTACCCCAGGATGAGTGGTAAAGCCTTTACACCAAGGTCTGTGTGCTTTTCTTCAGGAGCAGTCAGAAAGGGGAAACTTGGGGGACCATATTCTGCAATATAGCCAGACCTGAGGGACAGAAGCCCAAGGGAGAAGTAGACGATGGTGGTTATGGGGAAAAAGGGATAAAGCAAATCCTTGGGACCGCTTTATCATTACCTGCATGTCTATAATTTCAGCTCTTCCATCCTCTACCCTACATTGTTCCCGCTGTCCCTGTTATTTCCATATTGAGTCTCTCCATTTTTCTCTCATTATTCCCCTCCTTGTGAAATTTACTTCTGTATTCAGCAGTCTGAATGGCCTATTGCTCCATCACCGCATTTTCTTGCCTCCCTTAATGTCCTTTTTGTATCATTCCAGCTGTTTTTATCTCTTCTGTTCCTCCATTCAGACTGCTAGAGAAAAACACAGCTGTGTAATGAACGGCACTAAATATTCAAGGTCTCCCAATTTCAACCAAGCCCTCACTACCAACAAGCAACCCTTTGTGGCTTCCTGGTGTATTTCATCTCCTAATCACCATGGCAATTATTTTACACCTTCACTGTTCTCCTTATCCCCCACTTCACGTCCAGCTATTCCCCATCAGGTGACCATGTTTCATTTTTTACAGAGGAAATGGAAGCTCTTAAACATTGGCTCCCACAATAATAAAAAAAACTCTTTACAACCACCCACAGAGCAGACATTTTCCCCCCCTGTGTGGATCAGGAAGTTGAAATTGTCTAGTAGCAGACCCTTACAGATACAGATCTGACTTTAAAATCCATGTACTTTTTACTACACCAGGCTGCCTCTCAAAATATCCATTGAGCCACCCAGTTTGTATGGGTCCTGATACTGATAAATGTCCTGCTTTAATCTTTATAGCAAAACTACAAGTAAGAGATATTATCTCCACTTAATGGATGAGGAAGCAAGAATCCAGAATGTACCAGAACCCTGTCTTATACATAGTTAACCTCTTGAGAAAATTGGCTCCAAACAGCTTTTTGCCTCTTTAGCTCCTAAATCTTGAACAGAAGGTTTTGCTAGGAACATATAAGTTGCTGACCAGAAACTTCCCTACTGAGTAGCTTTGTGTCTACCCAATAAAGTTCTCTCCTTGGAAAGCATAACTACAGCTAAAACAGCTTGTGAACTTAACCAATCTAAGATGGTAATGGGGACCTGGAATACTGTGGTGCTGGTGGAAGGACTCTTCCACATGGACAATTGTGTGTATCCTTGCAGTAAATTTCCATTGTGAATTGTCTGTGTTTCCATGTCACATAATTACTACTTGCTGGAGAAGGGCTAAGAACAAGAACTGTCTTGACTCTAGAGGCTATGTTCTTTGAATTTCTAGAGTTTATCTTTGCTTGCTCTTCTGCACCCAGCCTGTCCCTAGGCTTGGAAAAACAAGTATCCTTCAGTGTAATCCATTAGTTAATCCCTTAAGTTTTTAACCTCTTCTTTTCTCTCTGTTCATAAACATGTTCAGTACTTAGGAGAAAAACCCTACTCCTGTTATCCATCTTTTATAATCACTGACATCTCCCTCAGGTCTTGCCATAAAGTGGTATCATTGGTGTAATGAGAGCAGTGTGACGTTTTAAGCACAACACAAGAATAAAGTTAACAGAGCTCTCTTAACACAAATACATATTGGAGACAGAGTTGGTATTGCCATTGTGGCTTCAGGACTTAACGGCCTACTTTGTAAAGTCTGGTTCCTTTGAGCCTATTCAACTATACCACCCTCTCTCATTACTTGTCCTTAGTAACCGCAGCTCTCCTACTTTCCTCAAAATAGCTAGCCCTTGGTCTTCCTGTAACAACCCCTTGATACTTTAATGTTACCAGACAGTCCATTCAGTATTTTGGTTTCTTAGTTCCTTGCCTCAGTCTCCAATGATTTCCACTCTTGTCTTAGCCACCCACTCCCTTAGTTATGTCCTGGCCATTGTCATTACCCCAAACTGCTCCATCTTTAAAACACTATTACTAGCATCTTATTTACTGACTGTATTCCTTTTACTTTGTTTATTGATATATTCCTTTACTATTGTTCTTTGATTTCACTGGAGCATTCAAGCCATTGATTCTACTTTCCATTAACACCTCTGTCTTTAGATTCTTGTCCAGCTTAAATTCCAGTTAATTCTCTTGGAACAGACTAAATTTCTTTGTCATCTCTTTGTTGGACTCAGATAAAATGAGACATTTGTCTGTCTCTGCATTTGGACAGCTAGCTAAAAGCCCAAGGAAATCACTATAGAGCAGATTTATATCACTATGAATTCATGGTTACCAGCATCAAATGGAGACTCAACCCCTATAATCCCACTAGATTTTTCCAGTCACTGCTCCCTGCAATGACTACTTCAAATCAGTATTCTTAAGCCTCTTATTACCCTCACTATTCTCTTCAGTGTTCTGCAAGTAACCTTATTTTTTAATTCATAGGTAAAAGTAGAAGCTATCAGGAGTTCCCACAAAATCTCACAACACAACTTGGTCACCCACCTATACCTGCATCATTCTTTCCCTCCATCTAAATAGGGCAAACGTGCCTCAAAGCCAGTGCCTATTTCTGCTCTGAATCCTAGTCCTTTCTTTGGGAATCTCTAACTTTTTCCTATTTTACTATATTGTCACCATTGTTCAAACATGCTAAAGACTCTCCTGTTAAAACAAACCACTACCTTATTTCCCCTCCAGCTATCATCCTATTGTTTTCCACTTTACAGCTTAACTTCTTAAAACATTTGGATACTGTGGCTCTCTCCATTCCCATTCCTCCACCCGGTCTATTTTGACTTCTACAATCTTTATTCTATTGAAATTGTTCTTGATGAGGTCACCCTGGCCCACCAAATGACTCATATCCCTGATTTCCCAGTCCTCAGTTTACTTCACTTCTCAGTAGCATCTGGAACTATTGACTAGTTCCTCACCATTGGCAGTCTTTCATTGGTGTCTGTGACCCACTCATGGTTCTACTACTACTTTCACCACGCTTTATAGCCTCCTTTGAGGCTCACCTGCTTCTAGCCTTTACATCTAAAGGTTTCTCTAGGGCCTCTTCTTTCTCATTTTTCTAGGATTGTGTCCTCCGCACTCAGCTTCAGTTACTCCTAGATCTCTCCTCTGAGCTACTTGATTGACATTCCCACTTAGGTGTCTCAAAAATATCCCCAACTCAGCATGTTTTCCTCATCAGCTTTCCTCCTATAGCTAGTACTCCTCCAGTTGCAGAAGATAGAAACCTCACTCAGTTGCCAAATCCCATCTGTTTACGTTTTACGTTTCTAAATATCCCTTGATTCTATCTGCTTCTCCCGATTTTTACATTCTTCCAACAGTGTTACTGCAATTGCTACTTTACCTCATATCTACTTCTGCATCCCTCCAATCTCTTCTCCACTTATAGGCCAGAAAACACAAACTGAGGCTTAAAACCTCACAATAGCTTCCCATTCTTAGGATAAGAACGCATTCTACATGTGACCTCTGAGACCGTGCACGATCCCATCCCTGCCCACCTCAGCTTTATCTTATGGACTATCAAACACTGGACTGTCAGTATTGTTTGTTGAACTGAATTGAGCTGCACCTCACTTGCTGCCTCTCTGTGCTCTCACCACACTGCCGTCTCCATTCTTCTAACCTGTCAGGTACCATTCCATCTCGGGGCCTTTGCACCATTTCCTGGCTTGCAGTGCTTTCCCCTCACTTTACCTACTCATTCTTGAGTACTTAGTGTGAATGCTATTTCCTCACATAACTCTTCCCAGACTCCAGCTCCATAATTCCTCATGTTTGTGGCATGTAGCACTTCTAACAGTTGGTAATTACATGCACCATGAGATCACAGTCCATGGCTGTATTGCTCACCATTGTACCCTTATCACAGTCCCTGGCACATAATACGTGCTTGGTAAATATTTGTTGAATGAACATTTTGCAGTTTCCTCCCAGCTCAGTCTACTATTTACGTAGAAAGGGAAAGGCTGAATATCGGAAGAGACAGAAACAAGTCTGCATTTAACTTTTGATGTTTTGCCAGTGATTTAGAGGTGTTTTTCATGCCTAATCTCACTGGTTGGTATCTTCTGCCCTTAATAGTCACAGATCAGTCAACACCTGAAAGCTTCCATCTGGAGCAAATCAGTCATTCTAAGTTTTCCACTCAGTTCCTAAGCATTATAATTCTGCTTAAATATTTCTTGAACGCTTGCTTTTCTCTCCATGTCCTTTGTCACTACCTTGATCAAACTTTCGCCTATGGCACTAGCGGCCTGATGGCAGCGCATCTCTTCTGCTCTCGGAACCTTGATCGAACTTTCTTCAGCTCTTGTATAGATTACAGCAGCAGTCACCTAACAGC